ATAACAACCGTAACCATAACAACCATAACCATGGCAACCATAACCATAACAACCATAAAAACCATAACAACCATAACCATGGCAACCATAACCATAACAACCATAAAAACCATAACAACCATAACCATGGTAACCATAGCCAACACAACACTTAACTATCTCTTTCTATCTATCTCTCACAAAACTATATATATATATAGTTTACTATCACCGTGTGAAGGAAAGATCTACACAACACTAAACTATCGTCACATGGCGTCCTCGTGTAAACGTAGCGTCCTCGTGTAAACGTGCCGTTATGGACTTTGGGCTGAGAGCTGATTGGCTGAGAGTAGGCGGTCGTCTCTTTTTCGCTTTTCTGTCTGAAAAATCTGATCCAAAGATGAGACAGAATCAAACTGTTTTAGAAAGAAGAGACTTGATTACACAGTTCCAGAAAGTCAGGTTCCCCAGCTTTAACCTGCACAGCGCCCCCTGGTGTCTGACCTGTTTGTAGAGCCACAGCGCCCCTGGTGTCTGACCTGTTTGTAGAACCACAGCGCCCCCTGGTGTCTGACCTGTTTGTAGAGCCAGCCTCTCTTCACCACCGGGGCGTTCAGGCTCCTCTTGATGGAGTTTGACCTCTTCCCAAAGTTGTGGATTTTTTTGGACGCTCTGGAAGTCTGCGGGAAAGATTTATACACTTTAGTTTTACATTTCAAACCTGTACATTTTCCTTTTGTATGGTCTCTCTCTCAGGTCTCTCTCTGGTCTCTCTCTGGTCTCTCTCTGGTCTCTCTCTCTGGTCTCTCTCTGGTCTCTTTCTGGTCTCTCTCTGGTCTCTCTCTCTGGTCTCTCTCTGGTCTCAATTTGGTGTCTTTGTGGTCTCTCTCTGGTCTCTCTCTCTGGTGTCTCTCTCTGGTCTCTCTCTGGTCTCTCTCTGGTCTCTCTCTGGTCTCTCTCTCTGGTCTCTCTCTCTGGTCTCTCTCTGGTCTCTCTCTCTCTGGTCTCTCTCTGGTCTCTCTCTGGTCTCTCTCCCTGGTCTCTCTCCCTGGTCTCTCTCCCTGGTCTCTCTCCCTGGTCTCTCTCTCTGGTCTATCATGGATGACGTTTAGTTGGAGCTAATCTTCGTCCATGAGCCTCCACACATGACCCTTGGCTACACTGCTCTGTGTGTTTGGGTCATGTGATCTTCTGAAGGGCACAGAGGAGTAAAAATATCCCGGGACTGAGGCTGTAGACCCAGGACTGAGGCTGTAGACCCCGGACTGAGGCTAGCTTATGTTCATGCTAATCCTGTGGTGATGTCACACTCTGTCAGACCACCTCTAAAGCCTGGTTCACACGAGACAATTTTAAAATTGTGGGCTGATTTTTTCTCTGTGTGAGACCTCACACACGGAGATAAAAAATCATGGGTCTAACCACTTTGGTTGTACAGTGTGTGGTGCAGCCACACGGCAAAATCACGCAAACCACACACATCATACACAAACCGATTTCACCCCCGAGCATTCCCAGGTCAGACGGAAATCTCACAAAATCTCTCGAGATCAAGCGTGACTTCAGAGAAAATAATCATGGCGGACGAAGAGGATGCAGCGGCGATAGTTTCCAGTTATCAAAAGAAAAGGTGATAGTCAAAGAAGTGGAGACAACGCGAGCATGGACTATACTTGCTACTTCGTGATATGGAGGTGAGTTGTATTTTTACGGTGTTTCCTCGCCGCCTCGTCACCTCGTCTTCTGATTGGCTACACGCCGCAGTCATGGCAACGCGCTCGTCTGTCCTCGGGGGACACCACACACGAAGAGGAATTGGACCAAAACAATCCAACATGTTGGATATCCCCGATATTGAGATTATAGCAGTCCCGAATTCCTTCAGAGCGACGCAGTCTTAACACGCCACACATGGAAAATCCATCAGATTTTTTTTACGATAATCTGAGCGTTATTAAAGATCGTTAGGGATTAATCAGGTCTTAAATCGTTCTAATTATCCTGCCGTGTGAACCAGGCTTTAGATAAAGCTCCGTGATAAACTTCCTGTATAAATAAACAAGTGCAATAATAGTGGTCTTACCCTGGCGGCTCCTGAGGGGGCGCTGTTGAGGCTGAGGCGGGGGGGTGCGCTGCTGTTGTGGGTTGTCCCCTGGCAGGGCGAGGTGGCCGTGCTGAGGGCCGGGCTGAGGTCCGAGCCGCCATTATCACTGAGCAGACTGGTGGGACGCTCCTGAGGCTGGGCCCTGGGCTCCGAGGGGGTGGGGGGGGCCCTGGGGTCTGAGGGGGTGGGGGGGGCCGGCCTGCAACACAGAGGACCTAAAAGTCAGTCTGGAACTCTAAAATATTACACAATTAAGAATTGTATTAAAATGACCTCCTGGCCTTAAATGTTGATAAACAGCTAAGCTAGTAACAGCTAGGTTAGTAACAGCTAGGCTAGTAACAGCTAGGCTAGTAACAGTTAGGCTAGTAACAGGGGTGCGTACCGATGTTCCCCGGGTCCGATGTTCCCCCACTTCTATAGGCGGGGGAACATCGGGACTTCAACAACGAGACTAGTCCCGCTGTTCCCCGCGTGCGCCCTTTGATGTTTGATGTTTCCTCCTCCACGAAAGATGGCATATGATCCGCGCCAACTTTTGTGAAAGAAAAAATACTAACTAGCCTAAGCCTATTTACTTTTCTTTTTCCCTCTCGCTCTTTGTGTGCTCATATTTCAGCTGATCGCAGCTTGAGTCTATGCAGGATATTTTTGGGCATGTTATGGGCATGTTATCTCCCCTTGCTCACTCTCCCATGGGCATCTATATTTTACAAGTCTGACTGAATAAAATGAGGACGATTGAAACGAGAGCTACTACATCTGTTAGCCTATTCCAAATACGTGGTTTTGCTGAGGGCACTGTGCTTTTACGCATAATGGACACGCATATGACGTCGTTTTTGTTGTAAAACTTGAATATGCTCTTTTAGTTTTAGAGATATTAATACATATTATTCTATTCAGAATGCGTGCGTCATTGTGCATTGTTGTCCCGCCTTACGTGTCACTCACAGTTAAAATGTAAATAACCAATTCAAACATAGCATTTTTACAACTTGAACTTTAAGAAAAAAATGATCAAAGGAATCAGTGTAAAATAAGATCGGAAAAGCTCAATTCATGATTGTTTAATTAGGTTTCCCATTTTTAAATACAATTGGAAACGCTCAAAATTCAAAAATATTGAAAAGTTTATTGGCTCCTACAGTGGGGGGAATAATAATAATAATAATACTGCTAAAACAACGTCCATTATTATTGTATACATTCCTACAAGAAATATCAATTATAAACAGTCAAGCAATGTCTGATTTCGCGGAACATAAGTCTGTGTCACAGGTGTGCGTTTGAGAGGTGCATGTAACCAATAAAAACAGAAATTAAAGCCGCAAGCGGCGATGAAAGGCCTCGCCCCTCTTGCGACCGCCTCCCGGGCGCCAGTCCCACAAGCGTCATGCCGACGAATTGGCAGCCCGATCTGACCAGGATTACGAATAAAAAAGCTCATTAATATGATAAAGTGCGCCCCTAGTGGTCACCAAAAAAAAAAACACCCCATAACAAACCAAAATACCCCCCCCCAATCCCCACCCCACCCACCCCACCCCCCCCACACACTTACTTTCCCCCTCCCCCCACACCAATAACCCCTCCATACCAATAAACACACCAACAAATAAACCAACCCCCCCCCCAACCCCCCCCCCCCCACCCCACTTTTTTCCTTACTACCCCCCCTACCCCAACACCCCAAACACTTCTAAAAACCTACCCCTAACCCCCCCTCAACCCCCTAACCACATAAAAAAATTCACTTTCGGGACATGCACCCTCTACGTAGATCTCAAACTCCTCCCCTTCTCTCCATACAATCTACTACCCCCCCCCATATTACACCCCCTTTCCACAATCATCCTACCCCTCTCACCTCACACTCACTCCCCACCCCCCCACACCCCCCCCACATCCAACTCTATCCCCCCCCTATACAAATATATTCACCATACCCCCCCCAAATTCACCTAAAAACTACCAAACTCCCCTACCAATTTTTAACCACAATTACCATTATCCATCCTAACCCCATACAAATATCATCAATTTAACAACCATCTCCTCTCCTCTACCATAAAAAACCCCACCCCCCCACCCCTTTCCCAATTTCCACACCAAACACCCCTAAAAATTTAACTAAACCCTTTCATCCTCACCACCCCCCCCTTATCAATACACAAAATTCTACCACAAACAAAATCCCAAAACCCCCCCTCAACAACCCCCCAAACCCCCTTTCCATCCCCAATCTCTTCTCAATCCATTCACCCACCCAAAAACCCACTCCTCAACCCATCCTTACCCCCCCTCTCATCTTCCCTCATAACAAATCCCCCCTTTATCCCCCTAACACCCACCCCTTCTACATCCCCCCCAACATCTCCCCACACCCCCCCCTCAATAACAACCCCAACACACCCTAAAAAACAAATCCCCCAAATCCCAAACACTATACCAACAAACCACACCACATACAACAAAAACCCCCAATACACCAAACCCCACCCCCCCAACAATACAACCCCCCCCAAAAAACACCTCCCCACCCCCCCCCCCACTCACCCCCCCCACAAATCACCCCCCACATCCCCCCCCCCCACAACCCCCACACCACTTACCCAAATAACCCCCCCCCCCACACAAATTACCAAAAAACACAACAACACCCCAACAACCCCCCCCCCCCCACAACACCACACCACCCCAACACAAAACCCCACCCCCCCCCCCCCCACAACACTATCCAACCCCTTCCCCCCCAATCACACCAAATACCCAACTACCTAACCCCAAACCCATAACAAACACACCCATAAACCAAAAATCACCCCCCCCCAACTATCTCAATCCCAAACCCAACCCCCCCCCCAACCCCCCACCAAACAACATAAACAACACCCCAACCCCCAACTTATACTTAATACCCCTTCCACAATCCTCCTCCCCACACAACAATCCCTAACAACCCCCAAAACCCTATCCCACCCCTTCCTCCCCTCCATCCAAAATCCCCCCCCCCACCCCTCCCCCCACAACCCAACCCCACCCAAAATTCCATCCCCCCCCCAACCCCACACATAAACACCCCCCCCACTAACATACCTTCATCCCCCCTCACACCCACCCCCCTCACAACCCCAATACCCCTTTCACCATTACTTCCCTTTTCCCAACCACAAAAACACAACCATTCCCCCCCCTTCTTCAAAACACCCCCCCTAACCAAAATCCTCATCCCATAACCATTCCCTCCCCCACCACAATCAAAAATATTCAATCAAAATCTTAACCCACCCATCCTCCCCAACCCCACATCCCCACCCCCTCCCACATATATAAAAAATCCCAACCCAAACCCCACAATTATCCCCACAACACCACACCCCCCACATAAAAACACCCACAACAACCCCCCCCCCAACCCACACCCCCACTCCTAAAAAACCCATACACCAAAAATAACCCTCCACATTCACCCCCTCCCCATCATCCCTCACCCAAAAACCCTAAACTACCCCCCCCCCACTATCCTTTAAACACAAAAAATCACAAAAAAACAATCCCACCTTCCCCCCCCTCCCCCCACAAACCCCCTCCCCTCTTACTCCCCCCCCCCACCCCCCCCCCCCCCTTACCCCCTCCAACCACCATCCCCACCCCCTCCTCCCCCCCCCCCCCCCCCCTTATAATTTAATAATATCTCCCCCCATCCAACATATCCTACCACCCACCACCTCAATACCATCTTTCCCCTATCTATCAAACCATCCTCATAATCACCCTAATCCCCCCCCAAATTACCACCCCTTAATTCTCCCCCCACTTATCCCCCCCCCCCCCCCAAACTCCCCCCCCAAAACCCCCCCCCCACCCCCCTAATCTCCTCTCCCCTTTTCCCAAAACCCACTTCACCCCATATTTACAACACAAAAAAACCACCACCATCACAACTCTCCCCCTATAAACCACACAATCTCCTTCACCCCCCCCAATAACCCTCTATTCCCCCCACACCTCCACCCCCCCCCCCTTACCCTCATTACCCCCCCTAACCTACCCCACATATATTAATTACACCCACCCCCCCTTTTTCCCAACTAAACCTTCACAATCCCCCCCTCCCCACCCAAATACCCTACCCCCCTCTACCACTTAATTAATCTAAACCCCCTTAAACCCACCCCCCCACCCACTAACAAAAACCCCTAAAACCTCCCCAAAAACCCATAAATAACCACCCCCATCCTACACCTCCACACCCCCCCCAAACTTCCACCCCTTCCCTACTCCCCACTCCCAACCCCCCCCCACCCCTTAACCCTCCCAATACCCAATCCCCCACAATACCCATCATTCATCTCATACTTCTCCATACCAATACCCAAACACCTCTCCTACTATCAATTACATCCAACCCTAATACCAAAATCATTAAAACATCAACCTCCAATCCCAATCTAAATCTCAACCCAACCTCACAAAAACCACCCCCCCCACCAATAATCCAATCTCATACCCACCACACCAAAAATACCACTCAACCCCCCAAACCTAAACCAAATACCCCCACATCCACACTATACAATACAAATCTATCCTTCACTACCAATCCAACCCTTCCCCCAACCATCACCCCCCCCCCTCAAATTTTTACTCCTCCCCTCTCCAAACAAACACTCCCCCCCACCAACCCCTAACCTCAACCCATATACCCCCCCCACCAAATCCCCCCCCCCCCCCTACCTACACTACAACCCTCCTCCTCTCTTCTTCCCTATTCTTCCTAACATACCCCCTTATATCACTCACTATACCACTCCTCACCCCTCCCCAATATTACATACCCCCCCCCCCCAAAACCCTTCCACCCCCTTTAACTCCCCCCCCCCCCCCCCAACCCTACCAACCAAACCCCCTTCTACTCACAAAATCTCTCTCCTTCACACCCCCCCCCCCCCCAATCCTCCTACTACATCCAATTCCAACCACCTCACCAACCCAACATTCATCCTTTTACCTACTACACCCCCTCTTTTCTCATCTTCAACATCCACCTCCATTTCCCCCCCCTCACATAACACCACACCCCCCCCAACAACCAATAATCACCCCCAAAAACCAACACCCCCCACCAAACCCTCACCCAAATTACAAACCATCACCCAATCATAATACACTATCCCATCCCCACAATCCCTCCCACCTAAACCCCCCACTCATATAATCACCACAACAAACAACATCCACATTAATAAAACTCCTCATCTTCCCTAACAATTCCCAATTCCCCACAATACACTAACTTTATACACATATTCTAAAAATTTCTTCCCCAATTCAATAACCCATCCCAACCATTCATCAAAAACTCATCCATCATCCTACCATCTCCTTTCCAAACCCAAACCTCACCTCCTATCCTACTCCCCCCCCCCACCCCAATACACCTACCCTCCTCACCATTCCCTCCCAACCCTCCCCAAAACAAAACACCCCCCCCCCCCTCCAAAATAATTCCATTTCAACCCCCATTCTACTTTTCTCCATAAAAATACCCACTACCCCCCCAAACCCCTTTTTAAAAACTCCTCCCACACCCCCCTAACACCCCCCCCCAATAATACAACTTCAACCAACCCTTTCCATCTAAAAACCCCCCAACACAAATTTCCTCTTCTCCCTCTAAACTCCAATCTCTTCTCACCCCCCATTCACTCTATCATACCCCTTACAACATCCTCATTCTATCCAACCCCTTCCAATCCATCTCCCCTAATCCCCTTCTTTCTCATACCTTCCAAATCTTATTCCTATCCTTTTTCTCCCCCCACACCACAAACCAAACATCCCTACCCCCACTATCCCCCCCCAACCCCCCCCCTTCCCCCCCCCCCCCCCCTCCCTATAATACCCCCTAACCTCCTCCCCCCCCCTCCTATCCTTACCATCCCTCCCCCCCCCACCTTATATCATCTATTCCCTCTCATAATCACCCAAATCCAAAACCCCAACCCCCACCACCCCCCCACCAACAACACAAAACACCCCACTCCTCCTCCCACACTCCCGCCACCCCCACATCCCCACCCCACTCCCCAACTCATCCCACACCCTTCCTTATATTCATCTCCTATATCTTCACAACCCCCCCCCTCTTCCCCCCATCCTTTTATCTCCTCCCATATTTTCCCTCCTCCCTTACCCACCACACCCAACTTCACACAAAACAAAACCCCCTTCAACCCATATATAACAACATCCCTCTTCCATAACACAAAATAACATCACACCCTCTCCCATCCAATAACCCACCCACCCCCCACACTCACACACAAATAAAACACCCTTAATACCCCTATACCCCAATCCTCAAACCCAAATCATCATTTCTCCACTCATCAACACAATATACCCCACCCCCCCCCCACAACAACAACAAATCAAAAAATTCCCCCTTTTTAAAACTTATCCCTCTCCCCCCCTACATCCTCATCCTACTCCCTACCCCCCTTCACATTCCTTCTCCCTCTAAAAATACCTATCCCAAAACACCCACACAAACACAATAAATCATACCTCACAATAACCATCTACCCCAAACCCCACACTATCCCCCCCAAAACTTATAATCCCCCTAACCCCCACACCACACTCCATTCCCTTACCAATACCAAAATCATTCACTACCCCTCCCATATACTACAAACTCCCAAACAAAATTCAATAAAACCACAAACAAATCCTCAAAATCCAAACAAAACCCCCTAAACAACATAACCCCCCCCTCAAAACCCAATCCCCCCCACCCCTAACATTATACTTCCCCCCACCCCAAATTCCCACCATTTACACAATCTCCCACACCAAATCTTACACAATCCTCCATTTTTCTTTTATCCCCTTAATAAACTCTCACTTTTTACCACTAGTAATCACCAACTACCAACATCCATCATATAACACCTACAATTAACCCACCTATTTACCAAAACAATAACAATATCAATAATTTCCAAATCCCACCATAATACCACATCTCTACACCATCCCCCCCACCAAACATTAAACTCTTTAAATATACAATCTATATAACTCACACACATCACCAAAATTTCAACTCCATCCCACTAATTCCCACACTTAACCTATATCCCCACCTCTATATACTCACCCCCCAACTACAACCACTAACTCCACTATCCACCTCCCCCCCCCCCCCCCCCCCCCCACTAACACATATATCCACATACACCCACCTACCACCAATAACACCACCACCCTACCCCTTCCACCCCCATTCTACCTCAAACTCATCAAATAAAACCCCCCCAATATTCAACTATCCCTCAATAAACACTCTCTCTACAACCCCATCCATCCCAACTCCCCCCTTCCCCAAACCCCCCAAAATACCAAACCCCACTACCCACACCCAAATACTATCTCCACTCCACATTCCTTCCATCACCCCCAATTCACCCCCTTAACCATAACAATAAACAACCCCCTATCATACAACCCCCACCACTTAAATTTCCCCAAAACCCCCTAACACTCCTCTTTCCCTCCTCCCATCCATATAAAATAAACAACCAACCAAACAAACCCACTCCCAACACACCTACTCACCCTAAAAACCCCAATAACACAACCAACCCCATCACCCCCAAACCTTCCCATCAATACTCAAACATAAAACCACAAATCTTCTCCCAACCATAATAATTAATTTCCAAATACATCCCACCCCCCACCCACTATCATCACCCCCATTCCCCCCTCCAACCATAACCTATAACCTACAATTCCCCCTTCCCCCCCCTTAAATCAAAACACTTCATTCTCATCTCCCCCCCCCCCCCATAACCCCATTAAACCCCATCACCTACAATCTACAAAACTCTAAAACTACTCATAACCCACTACTCTCCCCCAACTCCAAAACACCAATAACCCCCCCCCCCCCAAACTCAACCTCTAACCCCCATTAACCACCCATATACCCCCAATCACAACTCTTCTCACCCAAAACACCAACTCCAACAAAACACCCAATCCCTATACCTCCAACCCCCCCAATCCCACACATTACCTCCATCCTCAAAATTACACCCCCCCCCCATCAACACCCCCTCACCCATCACCCCCCCCTCATCACAACCCCCCCCCCCCACTCTCAACAAAAACTCCCCCTATCACACACCCATAACCCTTCCCCCCCCAAACCAACCCCCACATACCCCCCCCTCCAAACAACCCCCCTACTCACCTCACAACCCCCTAAACAAACCCCAAAAACAACCCACCAATACCCCCCCAACAATAAAACCCCCCATTATCCATAATCCCCCCAACCCCCCCCTAACATCCTATACACATTCCACCATATCAACTCAACATCCCAACACACTTCTCATCAACCATCACACTCAACTCCCCCCCCCCCTCTCAACCCCCCCCCCCCCAACCCCTACAAAATCATACAAATATACACACCCCCCCCTACACACAACCCCTACAAAAAATCTCCAACACCCCAATACCTCAAATTCCCCTCCCCCCTCACTCACCACCCCACCCCCCCCCCCCCATCACTCAACCATCCCCCCCCCCCCCCCCCCCCCAAACCCCCCACTCAACCAAACCTAACATCACACCAAAACAACCAAACATACCCCCAAACCCCCCCCCATAAAATTCTCTTCAATCCTATCCCCCCCACTCAACATAAAACCCCCCATACAAATACCCCATCCCACCCACCACCATAACCACAACCCAAATACAAAATTAACCCCAAAAAATAACATCTCCATACTCCCTCCCATACTCCCCCCCCCCCCCACCCCCCAAACCCCCCCCCCCTCCCCCCAACACCATCCCTCCCCCCCCACAACACTCTCTAAACAACTCACCCCCCCAAACAAAAACTTCCACATAACCACCCTCCACAACCCCCCACAAATACCACTAACTCACTAAAACCCCCACACTATCTACTAAAACTATCACCCCCAACCCTTCTTACTAATCCTCCCACTCCCTCCCCCCCTCTAAATACCCCCCCCACTACAATCCTTCCATAAAAACCCCATAATTATATATAATACAACAAATACAACCTACAACCCTCACACTCAACATCCATCTCCCCCTCATATTCATTCTCACACCCCCCCCCCTACCCCCCCCCCCTTTCTATAATAATCCCCTATATCCAAAACCTCCCTTACCCCCCCTCTTTCAATAATATAACTATCCAACCCCATACAAACACCCACCAAAACCACCCACATCCAACATCCTCACACCACTCACCAACCCAACCCCCAACACCACACCAACCCACCCAACCACAAACCCCAACCACCCCAACAACCCCCCCCAAACCACCCCCCCAACCAACACCCACCCAAACACACACCCCACCCCCCCCCAACAAAAAAACAACCCCCCAACCCCCCCAACCAACACCCAAATACCCAACACCCACCCCCCCCCCACAAAACCCACAACACCCCCACCCCCCACACACATCAACCCAAATCCTAAACACACAATCCCAACCCCACAAATCAAAACCCCCCCAACCCACCCTAACACACCAAACACAAACAACATCTACAAAAAAAACCCAACAACAACAAAACCCACACCCCCCCCAACCACAAAACCCAAAACCCAACCAAAAACCCAACAACCCACAACCCCCACTACCCAACCAAAACCCCCAAACCACCCCAAAACACCAACACAACACAACCCACCCCCAACCCCACCAACCCCCAACCCCCCCCAACCCCACCCACCCCACCCCCCAAAACCCCACAAACCCCCAAACAACCCCCCCAAACCCACCACCCCCAACCCCACTACCCCACATAAAAAACAACCCCCCCCACAACCACAAACAAACAAACCAAACTAAACAAAAACACACAACCCCAAAACAAACCCCCCCACAACCCAAAAAACCCCACCAAACAAAAACCCCAAAAAAACCCACCCCCCCCCCCCCCCAAAAAAACCCCCCCCCCCCCCCCCCCCCCCCACCAAAAACCCCCACAAAACCACCCCAACTCCCCCCCCCCAACCCCCCCCCCCAACACCACAACCCCAACAAAACAAAAACAACCCAAACCCCTCCACCCAAAAAACAAAACCACATACCACACCCCCACCCACCCCCCCACCCCCCACCAACCTAAAACAACACCAACTCATACAACACCAAACACACCCCCACACACCCCCCCCCCATCCAAAAAATAAAACACACACCCCCCCCAAACCCCAACAACAACACCCCAACCCCCAACCCCCCCAACACACCCCCCAAACCCAACCCACACACCACCCACACCCAACCCCCCCACAACAACAAAACCCCCACAACCCCCCACACACCCCACCACCCCCCCCCCACAAACCCCCCCCCCCCCCAAACAAACAAACACACCCCACACACCCCAAACCCAACCACCACACAACCCCCCCACCCAAAACCCCCCCACCCCAAACAACACCCCCCCCACACCCCCCCACACAACAACAATAAAACCAAACCCCCCCCTACCCAAACACAACAACCCCCAAACCCAAAACAACCCACCCAAACCAAAAAACACAACACAACCCCAAAAACCCAACCCCCCCAAAACCCCCACCAAACACCCATCCCCACCCACACAACCAAATACACCAAAACAAACACCCAACAACAAAAAAACCCAACCCAACAAAACCCAACACAACCAACCCCCCCCCCCCCAACCCCCAAACACACCCCAACACTAACAAAAACCCCCCCCAACCCCCCCACAACAACCCACAACACAAACCCCCCCCCAACAAACAACCCCACCCAAAAAAAACCCCCACACAACCCACACACCCAAACCCCAACCCCCATACACCCCACCCCCCCCACCCCCCAAATCACCAACAACCCCCACCCCCCCAACCCATAAAAAAAACCCACCCCCCCAACCCCCCCCAACACCAACAACCTCACAACAACCCCCTAACCCAACCCTTACCCCCCCCATATACCCTCAATACCCCATACCCCCACCCCCCACAAACCCCCCCCCCATCCCCTTCACCAAACATTCATTACCCAACCCCCTCCCCCCCCCCATCCTCCCAATATTCCCTCCCACCACTCTTCTATCACCCACAAATCTAAATACACCAAACCCTCAACTCCCTCAATCTCCCAAAAATCCATACTAATCCTATTCCCCCCCCCCCCCCCCCCTAAAAATACCCACACATATCACAACCCACCATACACCCATTATCCATACCATCTTACAAACCCACCCACCTCTCTATAAACAAAACACATCTCCCTACCCAACTCCCCACCCAAAAACCTTACAACTCACCCACAATCCAACACCTACCCATCAATAAATACCCCCCAAAATAACCATACACACCACCCCCACCCCCCCCCCCCAACCCCCAACAAAACAACCCCCACCCCACAAAACAACCCCCACCCCACACAACCCCAAAAACCCATCACCTCCCCCAAACCCCACACACACCCACCAAACTACCCCCAAAAAACATAAAAAAAATATCAAAACCCAACCCCCACCCCAATCAACACCCCAAACAAATAAACAACCAACCCCAACCCCCCCCCTACTCCAACATCCCAACCCCACTACCCATAATCCAACTTTACCATATCCAACCACTAAAACAAACCCCCCAACCCCCACCCAACCCCCCCAACCCCTCCTTCCCCAACAACAAAACCAACCCCCACCCCCTCCCCCCCCCCCCCCCCCTTCACAAAATACCCACCCATTCCTCACTCTAACAACAAAATCTAAAATAAACCTAATCAACTCCCTCATCTACAAATCCAATCACTCATATTCCCTTAAATCAAATAACACAATTACACAACCCACCCCAAACACATACATCACTATTACAAACACCCACCCTCTCATTAACCCCAACAACCCTCTCCCAACCCCAACTCCTACCCAAAACCTACAACATCCTACTTAATAAATACCCCCCCTAATACAAAACCCCTCACACCCCCACCCCCCCCCCCCCAACCCAACACCCCCAACAACAAACAACCAACATAAAAATAATAACACACACCCCCACACAAAACCACTACCACAAAACACAACAAAACACACCCCCCCCACAACACCCCCCCCAAACCAAACCACAACCCCAACAAACACAAACCCAAACCCACACCCACCCACCCACCAAAACCCACCACACCCCCCCCAAACATACCCACCACCACCAAACCCCCACACACCCACCCCCCAAAAACCCCCAAACCACCCCACCCCCACAAACCAACACCAACACAACCACCCCCCACCCACAAACCAAATAAAAACCCCCAAACAAAAAAAAAAAAAAAACATCTCCAACCCACCACCAATACAACAATAACCCTAAAATCCTTAACAAAAACCCAACACCCCCCATACCCAACCCAATCCCCAAACAAAACAACCCAAAACCAACCCAACAAAACAAAAAATAATAACCAAAAAAACTCCAACCAACACCAAACCCCAAATAACAACACACATAATCCAACCCATAACCCACCCCCCCCCACTTCCACCCCCCCCATCAATCCACCCATACAAAACTACTAACCCCCCCAAACAACCCCTAAACCCCCCCAATCACACAATATCATACCACCCACAAAACAAACACCACCCCCCCCAAAACCCCCCAATAAAAACAATACAAAACCCCACTCCCCCCCCCCCCCAAAAAACCCCCCCCTAACATAATACCAACCTAAACCCATCACCACCCCCATCCCCTTTTCTATTACCCAATCCCAAACCACCAACACCCTCCCCCCACACAATCAACTTCCACCACCCAAAAACCCCCCCCCCCCCCCAAAAAATTTCCTCCATCTACCCTCATCTCTTCCCCCCCCCCCCACACACCCCACCCCCCCCAAAAACCCCCACCCACCACCACCCCCAACCACAAACCACCCCAACCAACACCCCCCCCACCCACAACACACTCAACCCCAACAAAACCCCCCCCAAACAAACCACAAAACCACCCAAACACCACACCCACACCCAAACAACACAAAAACAACCAAACACAAAAACAAACCCCCAACCAAACCAACCCCCCCTAACAAAACCAACACCCCCAAACCCACCCCACCACACACCAAACCAAAAACCAAACAAAACCAACACCCCCCCCCATCCCCCACCCAAAACCAAACCACCCCCCAAACCCCCCCAAAACAACCCCCAAAAACACCAAAAAACCCACCCCACCAAAAACAAACCCCCAAAACCACCCCCCCACAACCCCCCCCCAACCCACCAACACACCCAAAAAAAAACCCCCAAATCAAACCCCAACACAAAAAACAACCCCTACACAATACACAAACCCAAACCCACACCCCCAAACAACCACCCCCAACCCCACCACACACCCCCCCCCACACAACACCCCCCAAACAAAACCAACAACCAAAAAAAACCCCCCCCCCCCAAACACCCCAACCCCAACCCCCAACCCCACCCCCACAACAACACCCCCACCAACCCAAACAAAACCCCCCCCCCCCCCCCCCCACCCCCCAACAAACCCCCAAAAAACCCCAACCAACCCCCCCCCCCCCCCCCCCCCAAAACAACCCACACCACCCCACCAAATCAACCAACCAACCAAACACCAACTCCCCCCCCACCCATCACAACCAACCCCACACCCAACCCCCCCCCAAAAAATACCAACAAACACCAAACAACCACAAAAACAAATTTACCACACCAACACCCCCACAAACAACCCAACAAACCCACTAAACTCCAACACCCCCCCAAAACCACAACAAAACCCAAACCCAAAACACACCCCCCAACCCACCACCAAACACACACCCAACCAACCCCCCCCAACCCCAAACCAAATACCAAAAACAAAACAAAACCCACAAACCCAAACAACACCAACCCCAAAAAAAAACAAACAAAACAAAAAACAACCCCCACCCCCCCCCCCCAAACAACCCAAAACCCAACCACCCCCCCCACACCCAAAAACAACCAAACTAAAACATTCAACAATCATACCCCCAAAACCCCCCAACCCCCACACACCCACCAAAAAAAAAAAAAAAACCCCCCCCCCAATCAAAAAAAAAAACCACCCCCAAACCCACCACCTCACCCCCAAAAAAACCACCCCAAAACCAAACCCCCCCTCAACAACCCCAACACATCAAAACACAACAACACCAAACCCCCCCCCATAACCCCCCAAAAACCAAACCACAAAAACCCCCCCAATACAACCCCCAAATTCCAACAAACAACCCCCAATATCAAAATCAAATTCCACCAAAAACCACAATCCAACAACCAAAACCACCAATCCCCAAAAACAAACTATAATACCCCCCCCCCCCAAAACTACTAAAACCCCCCAAAACCCCCCCCAACCCCCCCCTCTCAAAACCCCCCCCTAAACCCCCCCCACATACCAAAACCCAAACAAAACCCCACACACCCTCCCAACCCCCCCTCTACACACACCCCACAAACATTAAAATAATAATCCCCTCCCACCCCTCATTATCCTTACCACTATCCCCCCAACCCCCCAATCAACCCCACCCACATATAACAACATAACCCCCCCCCCCCATTAATATATTACCTACCAATACATATCAACCCCCCCAACTCAATAATTAACCAACTACCTCTCAATAATAAAACAAAACATACTCTCATATTCACAACCAAAAACACAACCAACCACCAAATCCCAAAAAACCATAAACAAAACATCAACATAAAAAACATAAACCAATATCCAACAACCATCAATAATCAAACAACACCTCCTTACAAACAACCCCAACAAACTACCCCCCCCAAAACCAACCACCCCCCCCACCCACAAAATCACAAACCCCACTAACCCCCAAACCCCCCCCCCAAATAAACAAAAATATTACACCCCACCCACCCTTCCCAAATATCACCAAACCTAAAAAAATATCCTCAAACCACCTCTTCACCACCCCCCCCCCCCCCCCCAAACCCCCCACCAACCCCCCACACAAAATCATCCCCCATCAAAAACCAAATCAACAAACACCCATAAAACCATACATCACCCCACACCCCCCACACTAACCCCACAAACCACACAAACCCCCCACATAAATACCACAAATAATACAACCTCCCACAACAACCCACAAAAAAACACAACCACCCACAACACCCACATTAAATCCCAAACAACACTAAATACCAAATATCCAATTTCAAAATCACCATACCCACAAACCAAACATCCCCCCCCCCCCATCCCCCACCACCCCCAATAACCACAACAAAACATTCCTTACCCCCTAAAACCCCCCCCACCCAACTAATCCCCTTCTATCCCCATACCAACCCCCAAACTCCCCTAAAATTTCATCCATACCCCACAACAACCCCCAACTACAACACCCACCCCTTTTACCAAACAAAAAATCCTAAAAAAAAAAATTTTACCCTAACCAACCCATAACACTCACAAACCACCCCCCCCCCCCCCCATATCAATCCCCCCCCACTCCCTCCCCAAAACTCCAACCCCCCACACCATCCCACAACAACAAAAACACCCCCAACCCACCCCAACAAAACCAAAAACAACCACAATAAAAACCCACCCCACACCCACCCAACAAAACAACCCACAAACCAACAACACACCCCAACTACCAAACCACCCCCCAACCCCCCAAAAACCCAAAACCAACCCCCCAAAAATAACCCCCCCACACACCACCCCCAACCCACCACCCCAAACCCACCCCCATACCTCCCCAAACAACCAAAACCAACCCAACATACCCCCACAAAAACCAACCAAAAAACAAAACCCCCAAACAAACACCCATCACCCCCCCCACCACAACACCACAACCAAAAACAACACACACCCCCACCCCCCCCACCCACAACCCAACCCCAAAACCCAACACACCCCCCCCCCAACACCCCCCCACCACAAAACACAAACAAACCCCCCCCCCAAACCAAACCCCCCAAAACAACACCCAAAACAAACCTCACACCACCAACACCAATACAAACCCAAAACCACCAACACCCCCCCCCAAACAACACCCAACCAACACCCCCCCCAAACAAAAAACACACAAAACCCCCAACACCCCCAACCCACCCACCACACCACCCAAAACCCCCCCAAAACCCCAAAAACCCAAACACAACCCTACCCCCCAAAAAATAATCCCACACCCCCCCACCCAAACAAAACCCAAAAATTATAACACCCCACAAAACAACTTAATACACACCACCCCCCCCCAACCCCCCCCCCCCCCAACTAAACCCCCCCCCCACAACCTACCACCCCAACCCACCCCCAAATCAACCCAAATCTACCTCCTACCACAACCCACAAACAAACTCAACACAATTCACACCCAACCAAAAACACCCCCCCCCTCCCCCCAACATTCAAATACTATCAACACCTAAACCCTTAAAACCCCCCCCCCCCACACAATTACCCACCACCCCTCAAAAAACACCCCCCCACCCACATCAACACCACCCATACACACCCCACACCTCATATAACACACCCAAAACACAAAACACACAAAAACCAACCCCCCAAAACCCAAAATATAAACAAACCCATCCAAAACCACCACAAACACCCCAATCTCACAACCCCCTCATATTCCCCCTCCTACCCCCCCCAACCCAATCCCACCCAAAACAAAACAACCAACTAACAACACCCCCAAATACCCAACAAAACAACAAAACACAACCCAAAAAACAACACCCCACTACCACAACAACCCAAAAACAAAACCAACCAACACAACCCACCCAACCCCACACACACACCCAACCCCCCAAACAAACACCAACACACACAACAAACACCCACAACCCCACAACACACAAAAACATACACCCCCCCCCAAACCACCCCCACCCACACCACAACCCCCCCCCCCCCAACACCAACCCAAAAAACCCCCCCCACAAAAACCCCCCCCCACCACACCAAACCCCCCCAACAAAACCCACACCCCCCCCCCACAAAAACCCCCCCAAACCAACAAACCCACACACAACCCCACCCACACCCCCCACACACACAACACCCCCCACCAAACAACACCAATCCCAAAACACCCAACCCACAACCCAACAAAAACACCACCACCCACCCAAAACCCACACAACCCCCCCCAACACCCACACCCCCAACAAATCCCAACCCCCCCCCCACCACCCCAACACAACAACCACCCCACACCCCCCCCCCAACAAACCCCCCAACACCCAAAACCCAACCACCACCCACCCCCCCCCCACCCCCACCCACAACACCCCACAAACCCCCCAAAACAACAAAAACACACCACCAACCAACCCACAAACCAAAACAACCCAACAACACACACCACCCCAACCACCAACACAACCAAACCCCCCCCCCACCCACAAACAAACCCACACCCCCCCCAACCCCAACCCCCCCCCACCAAAACCTAACACCACCCCCACACACCCACCAAAACAACACAAAACATAACCCCACCTACCCCCCCAACACACCACCCCCCCCCACCACCCACAACACAAACATTTTGATCTCCATTAGCTGTAATAAGTACAGCTATTCTTCCTGGAGTCAATCCAGCATGCTGTTCACAAAACAATATTTACACCAGTTTTCAACACCGAGTGATAATATTACCCCCACCACCCCCCCCCACCCACCACCACACACACACACACACACACACACACACACACACTCAAATGTACCAAGGACATAGTATATGCTTATCAGTGAATACATAAGAGAGAATATAATGACAGCATTAGTAGCGTAATGGTCCGGTTACTTAATTAGACCACCATGGTCACACAACAGGTTTTATCAAATTAATACAGGAGAAGATGCCTTTTCAAAAGGGCTTTAAATTGGTACTTACTGTTTGCATAACACAATATCACTTGGCAAAAAATTTCAACCAGCCCATGGCTCTATACATTGACAGTTCTTTTTCCTATTGTTGGTTGTGACTTAGGGAATTTAAATCTGCCCTGCCGTGTGCATGTCTGGTTTCATAATTATGATCATACCGAACTAATTTAACTCTTTGGTACAGTTCATTTGGAAGTTAGTGTAATTATATTTCTTATTAAGATTCATTAAAGAAGCTGCTAAATCTCTCTCTTTTACCTTGGCCAAGAACAGTGGTATTATGCACCCCAGTTTACATTAGTTCTGAGTGAGCCAACCGAAGTGCACAACGAGCTGCTCTGTTTGGACGGTTTGTAGAGAGCTTTTTATATTTGTTTACGGCAGCACAAGACCAATCTCTGAGCAGTAGTCTAACTGCGATAATACAAGTTTTTTATAACATCTGTAGTCATACTGAAAGATAACATATGGCGACATCTTTCATCACCATTGAGAGGCACTTTCCCATTCTACTGGCCACCATATTAATATGTTTAGTCCAAGATAGTTCATTGTCAATTTCAATACCAAGCAGTTTGGTCTGTCGCACCTGCTCAACAGTTACATCTTTGACAACAAGACTCAATTTTGGTTCATCCCGCAGCATGGTGTTTTTGTTCCAAAAACAATACTCTTTGTTTTCCCAATATTTAGAAACTAGCTTGTTATTTGTGACCCACTCAAATACTGATGTTAATTCTTTCTTTAAAACAATTTGAAGTTCTTCAACCGTACTTTGTGATGAATAAATGGTCGAGTCATCGGCATACATTGCTATTTTTGACTTTTGTAACACTAGTGGCAAGTCATTTGTATATATAGAAAAACAGGAGTGGTCCTAAGCAGCTTCCTTGAGGTATACCACAGCTAATTGTTTTTATATCTGAGAAGCTTCCATTAAAAAAGACAGTTTGTTTCCTGTTTTCTAAATAATTCTTAAGCCACAATGATGCTGCTGGACTGAACCCATAGCATTGCATTTTACTCAACAGAAGGTTGTGATCTATAAGATCAAAGGCTGAGCTGACATCCAACAACACAGCTCCTGCTAACCTTTTGTTGTCTAGTGCTATCAACCAATCATTTGTCATCTGAGCCATAGCAGTCGCAGTCGAGTGACCTGCTCTGTACGCATGTTGGAAATCTATATTCAGATTGTTATTAAAAAAATATTTTTGTATTTGTTCAAATACAATTCTTTCCATAATTTTGCTCAGAGCAGGTAACAGACTGATTGGCCTACTGTTAGGGCCACAAAAGGAACAGTAGCATTTTTTGGTAAAGGCACAATTTTTGCTATTTTTCCAAGCCTGTGGATAGACCCCCTCCTTAAGACTTAAATTTATAATATGAGCAATAGGAACAGCAACTAACTTTGCAGACAGTTTCAATAATTTAGAATCAATATTATCAACACCAGACGGTTTTTCTTTACATTCTAATAGTAATTTTTCTACTTGGCCAACAGTAACATTAATAAACTCAAACTTGCAGTTCTTTCCTGCCATAATATTGTTCCTTATTAAATATTCTGCTTTTGAGTTATCAGTTTGTCCCATCTCACTTCTCAGTTGATCAATTTTATTACAGAAATAATTGTTTAAGTGATTGGCTATGTCCAGTGGCTTTGTAATAAAAGAACCCCCTAATTCAAGAAATGATGGAGTCGTTTTAGAATTTCTTCCCATAATAATATTTAGAATACTCCATAATTTTTTGCTATCATGTTTCTCATTTATGATCAGATTTTTATAATACAATTTCCTTTTCTTTTTGTTTAATTTAGTTGCATAATTTCTCAGTTTTCGGTATACCTGCCAATCTGATTCATAATTAGAGAGAATTGCCATTTTTTTAGCCTCATCTCTTTGTACCATGCAGTCTTTAAGTTCAGCATCAATCCAACCCACTCTTACTTTTTTTACTGTTCTCTTTTTTAGAGGCGCATGTTTATCACTCACTTGTGAAAACATCTTATTAAAGACTTCTACTGCATGAGCTAGATTATTAGTCATCAATACATCATCCCAACAAATGTTACGGACATCCTCAATAAAACTACCTTCAGTAAAGTGTTTGTATGACCTTTTCACAATTATTTTAGGTCCTCCTTTTGGAACTCTGGTTTTCCTCACCATTGCTATTAAGTTATGATCACTACAGCCTACTGGGATGGATATAGCTGTGGTGCAGAGGTCACCAGCGTTAGTGAAGATATGGTCAATCAAGGTAGATGTTTTTGTTCCATCGGTTCTACAGCATATCCGAGTTGGTTGGGTCACAAGCTGTGTTAGACCACATGCCTCAGTAATGGATTGGAGTTTGTCCCTCAAAGAACATTGCAGTGAATTCCAGTCTATATTGAAGTCTCCCACAATATAGACTTCATTTTGACAGTCACATACATTGTCTATCATGGTACATAGATCCTCCAAGTAAGCAGAATTTGCATTGGGTGGACGGTAACAACAACAAACCAGTAATGGCTTTAAATATGGAATATGAACTTGGAGCCATAATGCTTCAATATTGGGTAGCGTTAGATCAATTCTTATTTTTACTGGTATTTGCTCCTGTATATAGATAGCCACTCCGCCACCCCTTGCATTTCTGTCTTTCCTATATATGCTGTATCCTTGTATATTTAATGAGGAGTCTTCAAATGTAGAATCCAGATGAGTCTCAGTAAGTCCTAGTATATGTAAGTTACCTTCTGATAGAATATTTGAAATATCAATTACTTTATTTCTCAGACTATGGATGTTTATATGTGCCAATTTCAGTCCCTTCTTGGGTAATTTTTTAAAAGTCACCATACTCAATTATTGTTGATAATCAAATTTATTATTTGAACCACTATAGTGCTGTAATCTCTATCTATACATTCATAGTGACTAGGTCCTAAATCAAAAGATACAAAATATTGAATACTCATACACACACACTCACACTTCCCGTTCACACCCCCAGAGTCTGTAATCATTGTGAAACTAGTGCAATAACGTTCTCCTTATAGTCCTGCTGAAACAGAAATATTCCTTAGTCCATCATTATAACAGAAATCCATATGTTCCCTCCATATCATTTCATAATACAAACATTCATCATTCACTGTCCTCTGTCCTCCAGCAGTGTTTTGTTCATGCAGTCACGTGACACACTCACCCAATCAGCAGCGTTCCCAGCTTCGTCACGTGACCGGCAGTGTTGAACCAAAACATTCGCTCTTTTATTATCACCAGCGTCTTACTTCTGAGGATTATTATCAGTTATTGGGACATGATTAATGTAAATGGGAACGATAGGGTAGCTGACAATGTGACTGCTTATGTTACATTGTTCTCATCATCGATCTGAGCAACTTGAGCCCGCGTCGTGTTTCCAAAAGATTCTTCATTCTCCCGACTCACGAGGAACTCTTCCAGCATCACAGGATCCTGAAATAGCGTGTGCTCATGGCCTTTGGACACTTTTATAGTGGCCGGATAAAGCAAGAAGGCCTGGTAACCCTCTAGCCGAGCCTTTTCCATGACAGGATAGCAGGATTTGCGACGGGCCCGGGTTACAATGCTGTAGTCAGCCGTGAAGCGGACATCCTTTCCTTCCATAACCAACGGTGAGTCCCTCGCAGCTTTCAAAATCCTTGCTCTGTCGGTGTATCTTAGGCACATGAAAATCATGACCCTCGGTTTTGTCGCCTTGCTCCGGGAAACTCCAATACGGTGCGCTCTCATGATCTCCGGTGGCGTATCTTTCAGCGTGGGGAACCACAGTGGGAGCTGGGCAGTGATATACTGTAAAGCATTAGAGTTCTCTTTTCGCTCACAGAGCCCATGCACAACGATGTTATTTCGTCTGCTCCGATCCTCTAGTTCACCCAACTTTGACAGTGGGGATGGTGTGTTCAGGGTGATGAGCTGTGTTGCTTTTACGCCAAACGTTTTGTGGCCACAAAGTTCGATTTTGGTTTCATCTGACCAGAGCACCTTCTTCCACATTTTTGGTGTGTCTCCCAGGTGGCTTGTGGCAAACTTTAAACGAGACTTTTTATGGATATCTTTGAGTAATGGCTTTCTTCTTGCCGCTCTTCCATAAAGGCCAGATTTGTGCAGTGCACGACTGATTGTTGTCCTATGGACAGACTCTCCCACCTCAGCTGTAGTTATCTGCAGTTCATCCAGAGTGATCATGGGCCTCTTGGCTGCATCTCTGATCAGTCTTCTCCTTGTTTGAGATGAAAGTTTGGAGGGTCGGCCGGGTCTTGGTAGATTTGTGGGCGGCAGTAGCTCAGTTGGTAGAGCTTTGGCCTTTGAGCCAGAAGGTCGTGGATTCAAGCCCCGCTCAAGACTTTCACCATCGACTCCCACTGTCTGCTGTCGTTGTGTCCTTGGCAAGACACTTAACCTCTGGGAACATCAGCCACAGTGGGGCGGCTGCGGCTGTAAAGTGCCAAACTGCCGTTGTGTCCTTAGGCAAGACACTTCACCCCCATTGCCTAGAATGAGTCTGGTGTGTGTATGAATGGTTGGTGGTGGTCGGAGGGGCCGATGGCGCATATTGGTTGCCTCGCTTCTGTCAGTGTGCCCCAGGGCAGCTGTGGCTACAGCAGTAGTTTATCACCACTGTGTATGGAGTGAATGAATAATGACACATGTGAAGCGTCTTTGAGTGTCCAGAAAAGCGCTATATAAAACCATTCCATTTCAATATAATTGCTTGCACAGTGCTCCTTGAGATGTTTAAAGCTTGGGAAATCTTTTTGTATCCAAATCCGGCTTTAAACTTCTCCACAACAGTATCTCGGACCTGCCTGGTGTGTTCCTTTGTCTTCATGGTTCTCTCTGCACTTTAAACAGAACCCTGAGACTATCAAAGAGCAGGTGCCTTTATACGGAGACTTGATTACACACAGGTGCATTCTATTTATCATCATCAGTCATTTAGGACAACATTGGATCATTCAAAGATCCTCACTGAACTTCTGGAGTGAGTTTGCTGCACTGAAAGTAAAGGGGCCATATAATATTGCACGCCCCACTTTTCAGTTTATTTGTTAAAACAGTTTAAATTATCCAATAAATTTCGTTCCACTTCACGATTGTGTCCCACTTGTTGTTGATTCATGACAAAAAATTCAAATTTTATATCTTTATGTGTGAAGCCTGAAATGTGGCGAAATGTTGAAAGGTTTAAGGGGGCCAAATACTTTCGCAATGCACTGTATAGTGTGTTTGTGTGTTGCAGATGTGTATAGTGTGTATTGTGTGTTGCAGATGTGCGTGCGGAGCTGCTGCAGGTGGAGGAGGAGTTGGGTCGTCTGGAGGAGCAGATCTCCTCACTGCTGCAGAGACAAGAGGAGCTGGAGTCAGTGCGACAGGCTCTGCAGTCCCAGCTGGAGGAGCAGGGTCCAGCCTCCTCCTCCTCCTCCTCCTCACAGGGAGTTCTGGCCCTGACCAAACAGGAGCTGGAGTGCTACGACAGACCAGGTGCAGAGTTGCAAGATTAACAAAGAAAAGAATAATGAATCTGTGAATCAGTCTCTCAAAAAACTCTGTTTCTGATTTAACACAAACGTGGACAGAATCTGCTTTGGTCAATCCTTAAACACATTCTGATGATCTTTGAGGCTGAAAACACTACTAGCTAACAGTACTAGCTAACAGTACTAGCTAACAGTACTGGCTAACAGTACTGGCTAACAGTACTAGTTAACTGACAATTCAGAACACATCGATCACTGATGTATATAATGACAATTACTTTTGTTCAAAGTCTTTCTCCTGTTTCTGTGGTCTCTTATTAGGGGTGCAACGGTTTGAAAAAATCACGGTTCGGTTCGTACCTCGGTTCAGAGGCCACGGTTCGGTTCATTTTTCGGTTCATTTTTCTAAAAAATAGTTTTGTCTTTTTAATAAACACAGCTCATGTGGACTCTGCACCTGCTCTGACTGCCCCCCCTGACCTAGAAATGAATTAAGGGGAAGGAAATGGATGGATGGATGGAAGGCATATTCCATCCATCCAATTATGTCTTTTTAACATAATTAATGAAAAACAACACAAAGTGCAACATAAGAAGGCACTTTATGAGGATATTTACCCTCATATATTACACCACCTTCCTGATTCTCCCGAGGAGGGGGTCCATTCTGGGCCCAGCCTCATTCACTGCATTTATTTAATTTTTGGCATTATCAGTTGTGACTGGGATATTAGTACTGGGCCTTTGTCTTCCATTCCTCCGCTGCTTGTGTCAGTACCTGCGCTGTGTGACAGTGTGACTGTCGTAGAGGGGGCGTGTCTTCAGCGCCAGACTTTTCATCTCCCAGTCTGCGGTGATGAAGTGAGCGGTTCCGCTCATGGATCTATTATAGGTTCCGCGGGACGTCCAAGCGTCAGTCGTGAGCGCAGCTGAGGATGCGCGGGAGAGTTGACTTTAGCCCGGTCTGACTGTGCGTAAAGGAGCTGCTTAAATGCCGCGACAATAGGTGGTCGTTGAGACGCTTTTTTCACTCATGTCTTTCTTGTGCCACAGTGCTTACACACCGTGACAGTTTTGTCGAATATTAATCATCAGTATAGTTACAGTGAAGCCAAAATGCTCTCATACTGGGGATTTAAATGACGCAGGGCTTTCAAGCATCTCCGTTCCTCCGCTCGCAATGACCGCGCTGTGTGTGGACTGAACAACGTGCGCACAACTTTTTTTTCATAAATCAAACCGCGGATCACGTCTGTACCGAACCGAAGACGTTGAACCGAACGGATCACGGATCAGTGATGAACCGTTGCACCTCTATCTCTTATCTATCTCTGCACTATATTTGTCTTTCTCTCTGGTCTCTCTCTCTGGTCTCTCTCTAGTCTCTCTCTAGTCTCTAGTCTCTCTCTGGTCTCTCTCTGGTCTCTCTCTGGTCTGTCTCTGGTCTCTCTCTGATCTCCCTCTGGTCTTTCTCTGGTCTCTCTCTCTGGTCTCTCTCTCTGCTCTCTCTGGTCTCTCTCTGGTACAATACAATACAATACAATTTATTCTTGTATAGCCCTAAGTCACAACAGCATCATCTCAGAGACTTAACAAAACCATAAAAATCACCAACACAGGTCAGATAATCAACAGTTAAAACAGATGAAAAATATAAAGCACACATAGAAGAAAATGTCCATACATGTTGTAGAATGCTAAAGTGTCCTGATCATCACCAATCCTTTCTGTTGGACACTAACTGTCCAACAAGACCCTCCTGCATCGACAAGGAAAAACTCTTAAAAAACCCAGTGGGAAAAAGTGAGAAACCTTGGGGAGAACTAGGGAAACCCACAGGGAGGGAGACCCATTTGAGAAAGGGATCCGCTCCTCCGGACGGAGAGGCTAATGATCCAGGACCTAAGCTAGCTACAGAACGTGGACCAGTGGCCGCTGAACGTGGACAGATCCGGTGCAGGACTGAAGCACTCCCAGGCGGGTCGGCAGGGCAGTCCGCAGGTGTAGATGGAGGAGGCCAGGCTCAGAGATCCCGTCATCGTACCATGAAACTAGGGATGTACCGAATCCAGGTTTTTGGGGTTCGGCCGAATATCGAATCCACTGGTTAAGATTCTGCCGAATCCGAACCCGAATACCGAATCCTATTCCATCCTCAGTCCATTATTGTTTCATACGCAAATGTTTTAACAGCGACGAACTGGCGGTGTTGTGTACTGTTTAGGGTCCTTACCACCACGAGACAAATCGGCATTGCAAATTGGACATGTAGCTCGACCAGAATCTATTATTATAACATTTATAATAATCTCGCTTATCATTAAACACAAATACATTCAATTCACAGCAGTATAAAACTTCAGAGATAAAGTACATATATTACTGTGCATGTCATGTAAAAAATAAGAGCTAAAGCACCATACATGCATAGATAGCTTCCACTGGTTCAGGTAAAAACATTAAATATATGGACATTTGAGAAATATGCCAAACTCGTAGAGACAAGTTGAGAGAAGCTAATGCTAAGAAGCTAGTTGCCTAAACATGGACTTACCAACTCTGCTTCTACAGTCATACGCAGCTCAGATGACAAGTACCTGGCACTGGTAATCGGCTCCATAAAGTTGGTGATTAGGCAGTTAGTTTATGATCTATCAGAACCGCATTACAGGTTACAACAAGAATCATAACATCCCCTCGCACCGGCATATGACTAGAGCTAATTGGACCGCGGGGATCACATGACCAGGAAGAGACCTCAGCGCACCCAAAGAGGAACAGAGAGCAAGAGGATATAAACCTCCGCTAAAGTGCATGTTTATTTACACTTCCAAACAAATCTGATTTTCGTGACGAATCCAACAGCCACAGCGCGCATAGTGTAAGTGCAGGGTTCGGGTTCGGTGGGGAAAAATTCTAAGGTTCGGCCAGAAACCGAACCTCGTCAAAAAAGCCAATATTCGGCCGAATCCGAACCCGAATCATGGATTCGGTACATCCCTACATGAAACAGACAATGGGACAACGGGTGAATAGCAATGAACAAACTACAGTCAAAATCCTAATAATGCTAAACAGGAAAAGTAGGAAGGAGGAGAGGATAGTGCTCAAGTTACCATACTTCTCCCAGCAAACTGACTCCCTATGCAGCTTGACTGACAGTCTGAGGAGTTTAGCCTTCCCCGAGTCTTACCTTCCTAGCCATATGCTAAACTAAAGAGGACTGTTTTAAACCTAGCCTTGAATAAAGAGAGCATATCTGAAAGGAGGTGAGACAACAGCAGCCACGGCTAGGCTAGCCTAGGCTACAGCACCAAGATTCATGGATTGCACACCAAGTGTACAAACCGATCCAGGCAAACAGCCTAATTATATGCTAAATTAAAGTAGAGTGCTTTAAGCCTGGCCTTGAATGTGGAGACCGTATCTGCTTCCTTAACACGAATTGGAAGCTGATTCCACAGTAAAGGAGCTTGGTAGCTAAATGCTCTGCCGCCGACAGTGATTTTTGACACCTTAGGAACCACTCATTATAAAAACACAAAGTCAATATCATCATTTACCCCTGGAAAGACAGTGGCTTTAAGTTTATCAATCCAGAAAGTTTCTCTTTGTGCTTTTAACTCTGTCCCCACCTCTCAAACTCGCAGGGATGACCTCAATAACCATGGCTTGTAAATGACTCAAATTGTGTCCAACTGAGGAAAAATGCATAGCCATGGGGTAGTTTGGATTTTTTGTTTTGATAGCATCCTTGTGTTCTGACAGACGGTCTTTCAAACGGCGCTTTGTCATTCCAATATAAAAACATCAACAGTTCAATTTGTAGACTACATGGGTAGTATTGCAGTTGGCAAAATGCAGACACTTAAAGGAACACTGACTGGGAGAGTCATTAAAAGTTTTTATTTTGTTTATGTTGCCACAATGATTACACGAACCACACTGGAAAGTACCCACAGGTTTCGGGAAAAATGTGGGTCTCTGAGCTGGAAGGTAGTTTTTTACCAGTTTGTCTTTGAGTGTCGGGGCCCTTTTGATGGCGAATGAGGGTGGATCCGGAAACACAGAGGAGAGTGACTGATCGCTCCGAAGGATGTCCCAATTGTTTGTAATAATGTCTTTGATTTATTTTGTAAGATTGGTGTACTTTAAAGAGACAAACAGTTTATTGTCACTTGATTTTATAGTTTGCTTCTTTCCATGGATTTTGCTTTGCTACGTGCTTGATTCAAGGTCTTTGTGCCGTAGCCACGTTGTTGAAATCTTTTCCATAGCACATTGGCTTGAAGGTCAAACTCTCTGTCCGTATCACAGATCCTACTGAGTCTTTGAAACTGACCATAAGGAATATTCGAAATCAAGTGATTGGGATGAAAACTGTCTGCTCTTAGGATGGTATTTCGATCAGTCTCTTTCCTGAAAATTGAGGTGTAAGTGTCCATGTGAGTCAATTGAGATGTTTACATCAAGAAAACTAATAGTTGTTCCACTGAAATCCAGGCTCAATTTGATGTTAGGGTTAGTGCCGTTTAAAAACATATGAAAGTCCCTCAATTGTTGAAGAGAGCCTGAAAAAACAAGTCGTCAATATACATTCCATAGAATAGAATGTTTTGTCTGAAAGGATTTTCATTGCCCCAAACATACCGATCTTCCCAAAGTCCGAGGAAGAGTCCCGCATAGTTTGGTGCAAAAGCGGCTCCCATTGCTGTGCCCTTTGTTTGTTTAAACAGTTTATCCTGAAACAGGAAAATATTATTCTTCAAGGTCCAATGTGCAAGGTCCACAATGAATTTAGTGGGTGGGGAGTCCAGATCAGGTCTTTTTTGTAAAAAAATGTTCTAAGGATGCGAGGCCTTCATTATGCTCTATGTTGCTGTAGAGAGCTTCCACATCCATAGTGACCAATAAGGAATTGTTTGACAGGGGGGCATAGTATCTATGGTCAGTAAGTTGTCTGTTAGCTTCCTGAATGTAACGTAGCTTACCCCATATCACCGTAGCTCCACCTTTGTCTGCTCTTCTTATAACAATGTCATCATTGTCTTTGAGCCACCTTAAGGCTTCCCTCTCTCTTGAGGTTAGATTGGAATATACATTTCTGTTGGAGGAAAACAATTTGTCCACGTCATAATTCACCTTTTTGATGAAAGCATTTAGACAGGGATTATTGTTTTGAGGGCAGAATTTAGATTTTGGTTTAAACGGACTGTGGGTTACCTGAGAACCTTGTGCTGATGAGGATCCAGAGGCCGCTGGTGAAGGGCGGTGGGCGTACCATGCCTTTAGGTTTTAGGGCATGCTGCCAATAAAGCGTTATAATAGTCAAGTCTTGAGGTGACAAAAGCGTGAATACGTTTTTCCGCATCACTTTTAGGAAGGAAATTCCTGATTTTAGCGATGTTCCGCAAGTGGAAGTACGCCGTTTTAGTTACTTGGCTTATATAAGCCTTGAAGGAGAGTTCTTCGTCGAAAATGACTCCAAGATTCCTCACAGTGTTGCTGGGTGTAATACTGACCTTATCGAGAGTGATTATCTGGTCAGTCTCTGGTCTCTCTCTGGTCTCTCTCTGGTCTCTCTCTAATCTCTCTCTCTGGTCTCTCTCTGGTCTCTCTCTGGTATCTCTCTCTTGTCTCTCTCTTATCTCTTTCTGGTCTCTCTCTGGTCTCTCTCTCTGGTCTCTCTCTGGTCTCTCTCTTTTGTCTCTCTCTGGTCTCTCTCTGGTCTCTCTCTGGTCTCTCTCTGGTCTCTCTCTGGTCTCTCTCTCTTGTCTCTCTCTGGTCTCTCTCTGGTCTTTGGTCTCTCTCTCTTGTCTCTCTCTTGTCTCTCTCTGGTCTCTCTCTGGTCTCTCTCTGATCTCTCTCTCTGGTCTCTCTCTGGTCTCTCTCTCTGGTCTCTCTCTGGTCTCTTTCTGGTCTCTTTCTGGTCTCTTTCTGGTCTCTCTCTGGTCTCTCTCTCTGGTCTCTCTCTGGTCTCTCTCTCTGGTCTCTCTCTGGTCTCTTTCTGGTCTCTTTCTGGTCTCTTTCTGGTCTCTCTCTGGTCTCTCTCTCTGGTCTCTCTCTGGTCTCTCTCTGGTCTCTCTCTCTGGTCTCTCTCTGGTCTCTCTATGGTCTCTCTCTAGTCTCTCTCTGGTCTCTATCCCCGCGATAAACCAGGTCCCAGTGAAGGCTTCTGTACATTTAATTAATTAGTCTGAATCTTGGTAAGTTATTATTAACCTTTTTATCCTGTGTTTTCAGACTTCCCCTGGTCAGACGAGGCACAGCGCCACCTGGTGGACACTTTCCGCCTGCGTGAGTTCCGTCCGCTGCAGCTGCGGGCGGTGAATCTGACCATGTCCTCCAAAGACCTGTTCCTGGTCATGCCCACGGGACGTGGGAAGAGCCTGTGCTACCAGCTGCCTGCACTCTGCTCCACTGGTCTGTGGGACTCTGGTCTCTCTCCGGTCTCTCTCTCTGGTCTCTCTCTCTTGTCTCTCTGGTCTCTCTCTCTAGTCTCTCTCTGGTCTCTCCCCTGGTCTCTCTCTAGTCGCTCTCTGGTCTCTCTCTGGTCTCTCTCCTGAGTCTGTGTGTGTGTGTGTGTGTAGGTTTCACTCTGGTGGTCTCTCCCCTGGTCTCTCTCATGGAGGACCAGATGATGTTCCTGCGCTCTCTGGAGATTCCTGCTGCTCTGCTCAACGCCTCCAGCTCCAAGGTAAAGACCATATTAAAGCTGAGGTCCCTAACTTTCAAACTCCCATGAAGCGTATTAGATTCCAATGTGTCCAAGGTTATCAGATTGACCTTGTTTCCAGGAACACGCCAAAACCGTGATGGTGGCGATGACGGACGCCAAGAGCCCGTTCAGACTCATCTACGTGACGCCAGAGAAGATCGCCAAGAGCAAACTGCTGATGTCACGACTGGATAAGGCGTACAAGGCCCAGCTGTTGAGACGCGTGGCCGTGGACGAGGTGCACTGCTGCAGCCAGTGGGGCCACGACTTCAGGCCTGGTGAGAAAGACCAGGAGAGAAACCAGGGGAGAGACCAGGGGAGAGACCAAAGAGAGACCAAAGAAAGACCAAAGAGAGACCAAAGAGAGACCAAAGAGAGACCAAAGAGAGACCAGAGAGAGACCAGAGAGAGACCAGAGAGAGACCAGAGAGAGACCAGAGAGAGACCAGAGAGAGACCAGAGAGAGACCAGAGAGAGACCAGAGAGAGACCAGAGAGAGACCAGAGAGAGACCAGAGAGAGACCAGAGAGAGACCAGGGGAGGGACCAGGAGAGAGACCAGGAGAGAGACCTCCTGGTCTTCCTCCTCCTGCTCTCCTCGAGGTCAGACGTGTCTCTTGCCTGCTCCTGCTACTGTTTGTCGCATGGCGCCGTAAAGATGGCGCCGTGGCAAGAGCTCTGGTGTGTGTCGTCTTCTCTGTCTGGTGCACACCGGGGTAGTCTTGCACAGTTTTTCTAATGTGGTTTTACTGTTAATGGCAAATAAATGAATCTGATCTGATCTGAGACCAGGAGAGAGACCAGGAGAGAGACCAGGAGAGAGACCAGGAGAGAGACCAGGAGAGAGACCAGGAGAGAGACCAGAGGGAGTTACAGACAGAAAGACTTTTTTACCCTTCATATTTTCAGTTGCTCCATGTTTCTTCCTCTGAGTACATGATGGCACTAATGGTGTGGTTATTGTGACCATGTGGAGCAGACTATAAGCTGCTGGGCATCCTGAAGAGGCAGTTCCCTCTGGTTCCTCTGCTCGGTCTTACGGCCACCGCCACCTCCAGTGTCCTGCTCGACTGTGAGAAGATCCTGAACGTCACGAGACCTGTGACCCTCACCGCCTCCTTCAACCGCACCAACCTCTACTACGAGGTCTGCTCTCACACCACAGAGAGAGAGACCAGGGGAGAGACCAGGGGAGAGACCAGGGGAGAGACCAGACAGAGAGACCAGAGAGAGAGACCAGAGACCAGAGAGAGAGACCAGAGAGAGAGACCAGAGAGAGAGGCCAGAGAGAGAGGCCAGAGAGAGAGGCCAGAGAGAGAGGCCAGGGAGCGAGGCCAGGGAGCGAGGCCAGGGAGCGAGGCCAGGGAGCGAGGCCAGGGAGAGACTCAGTCAGTGACTAATAGAGAAGCGTCTGGTTCTGGAGTTTTGATAGTTTTATTTGTGCAGGTTCGATGTAAAGATTCTGACAGTGAGGTCTTTCTGAACCACATCGCTGATCTAATTCAGCAGAAATACCATCAGCAATCAGGTACAGCTGGTCTGGTCTTTTCTAGTGAGATATAGTGCCTTGCAAAAGTATTGAACCTTTCAACATTTCGCCACATTTCAGGCTTCAAACATAAAGATATAAAATGTTATTTTTTTGTCATGAATCAACAACAAGTGGGACACAATCGTGAAGTGGAACGAAATTTATTGGATAATTTAAACTTTACATTCAGTGCAGCAAACACACTCCAGAAGTTCAGTGAGGATCTTTGAATGATCCAATGTTGTCCTAAATGACTGATGATGATAAATAGAATGCACCTGTGTGTAATCAAGTCTCCGTATAAATGCACCTGCTCTTTGATAGTCTCAGGGTTCTGTTTAAAGCGCAGAGAGAACCATGAAGACAAAGGAACACACCAGGCAGGTCCGAGATACTGTTGTGGAGAAGTTTAAAGCCGGATTTGGATACAAAAAGATTTGTATCCTCAGATAACTACAGCTGAGGTGGGGATGGTGTCTTCAGGGTGATGAGCTGTGTTGCTTTTATGCCAAACATATCGTTTTGCATTGTGGCCAAAAAGTTTGATTTTGGTTTCATCTGACCAGAGCACCTTCTTCCACATGTTTGGTGTGTCTCCCAGGTGGCTTGTGGCAAACTTTAAGAGACTTTTTATGGATATCTTTGAGAAATGGCCACTCTTCCATAAAGGCCAGATTTGTGCAGTGCACGACTGATTGTTGTCCTATGGACAGACTCTCCCACCTCAGCTGTAGTTATCTGCAGTTCATCCAGAGCGATCATGGGCCTCTTGGCTGCATCTCTGATCACTCTTCTCCTTGTTTGAGATGAAAGTTTGGAGGGACGGCCGGGTCTTGGTAGATTTGCAGTGGTCTGATACTCCTTCCATTTAAATATAATTGCTTGCACAGTGCTCCTTGAGATGTTTAAAGCTTGGGAAATCTTTTTGTATCCAAATCCGGCTTTAAACTTCTCCACAACAGTATCTCGGACCTGCCTGGTGTGTTCCTTTGTCTTCATGGTTCTCTCTGCACTTTAAACAGAACCCTGAGACTATCAAAGAGCAGGTGCATTTATACGGAGACTTGATTACACACAGGTGCATTCTATTTATCATCATCAGTCATTTAGGACAACATTGGATCATTCAAAGATCCTCACTGAACTTCTCGAGTGAGTTTGCTGCACTGAAAGTAAAGGGGCCGAATAATATTGCACGCCCCACTTTTCAGTTTTTATTTGTTAAAAAAGTTTAAATTATCCAATAAATTTCGTTCCACTTCACGGTTGTGTCCCACTTGTTGTTGATTCATGACAAAAAAATTAAAATTTTATATCTTTATGTTTTAAGCCTGAAATGTGGCAAAATGTTGAAAGGTTCAAGGGGGCCGAATACATTCGCAAGGCACTGTAACAGTATATGTACTGTATATATCTATGTGTGTCTCACAGTTGTGTGTTGTGTGTAGGGATTGTGTATGTGTTTTCTCAGAAAGACGCAGAGTGTGTGTCTGAGCAGCTGCAGCAGAGACACATCGAGGCTCATCCTTATCACGCTCACATGGACCCACAGGACAAGACCAGGGTGCACCGCAGGTGGACCGAGGGGAGGGTACAGGTGAGGGGAGGGGAGGGTACAGGTGAGGGGAGGGGAGGGGAGGGGAGGGGGGAGGGTACAGGTGAGGGGAGGGGAGGGGGAGACCAGGGTGCACCGCAGGTGGACAGAGAGGAGGGTACAGGTGAGGGGAGGGGAGGGAAGGGGAGGGGAGAGGGGGAGGGGAGGGGAGAGGGGGAGATGAGAGAAAAGTGGGAGGGGGGAGGGGAGAAGGAGAAGAGAAAGAGAGATTAGCGGAGTAGAAGAGGGGGTAGAATGAAGAAAGGGGAGAGATTGGAGAGGGGAGAGGAAGAGCAAGATCCAGGTACGTGAGGACAGGTGAGGAGACGATTTAAAGTGATAAATGAATTAAACATTTTAGGATATGTGTTAAATTGACTTCCTGGCCTTAAATGTTGATATAAAATAAGTCATTTTATTCATTCTAATATTACAGTAAGTCCCGCCTTCCCTTCTCTTAGCTATAGTTCAGAATCCACTGTGCCGTCGAGGTTAACCAATCAAGTGATGCCAAGGGCTGTCAATCATCAGCGCTGATGCTCGTAGCTGCTCATGCTCAGTTGTTTGTTTTCACGGAACCTCCGAATCAAGCCTCCATTATATACTGAACCTATATCCATAATCATTTATATACTGACCCTATATCCATAATCATTTATATACTGAACCTATATCCATAATCATTTATATACTGAACCTATATCCATAATCATTTATATACTGAACCTATATCCAGGGCGACAGTAGCTCAGTTGGTAGAGCATTGGCCTTCAGGCCTGAAGGTCGTGGGTTCAATTCCCACCTCTACACCTTCTCCACCGACTCCCACTGATGACTGCTGTCGTTGTGTCCTTGGGCAAGACACTTAACCCCACTTTGCCCATAGCCCCAGCTGAAAGATCAAGGCTATGCTCACACTCAGAGAGCAGCCGTCCTCCTGTGGACTCACCACCTGCAGAGGATCAGTGAGGGGCTGGTGCTATGAGACTTGGGTGGCATCTCTGATTGCCACCCCCCTGACCCAGAAATGGATTAAAGGGTAGAAAATGGATGGATGGATGGACTGAACCTATATCCATAATCATTTATATACTGAACCTATATCCATAATCATTTACAATGGGGCAAAAAAGTATTTAGTCAGCCACCAATTGTGCAAGTTCTCCCACTTAAAATAATGACAGTCGTCTGTAATTTTCATCATAGGTACACTTCAACTGTGAGAGACAGAATGTGAAAAAAAATTAAGGAGTTCACATTGTAGGATTTTTAAAGAATTGATTTGTAAATTATGGTGGAAAATAAGTATTTGGTCAATAACAGAAATTCAACTCAATAGAAGGAGGTTTTGGCTCAAAATCTCAACGATACATGGCCCCATTCATTCTTTCCTTAACACGGATCAGTCGTCCTGTCCCCTTAGCAGAAAAACAGCCCAAAAGCATGACGTTTCCACCCCCATGCTTCACAGTAGGCATGGTGTGCAACTCGGTATTCTTCTTCCTGCAAACATGACGAGTTGAGTTTATACCAAAAAGTTCTACTTTGGTTTCATCTGACCAATCTCTGCTGTATCTCTCTGGCAAACTTCAGACGGGCCTGGACATGCACTGGCTTCAGCAGGGGGACACGTCTGGCACTGCAGGATTTGATTCCCTGTCGTCGTAGTGTGTTACTGATGGTAACTTTTGTTACTTTGGTCCCAGCTCTCTGCAGGTCATTCACCAGGTCCCCCCGTGTGGTTCTGGGATTTTTGATCACCGTTCTCATCATCATTTTGACCCCACGGGATGAGATCTTGCGTGGAGCCCCAGATCGAGGGAGATTATCAGTGGTTGAAATATCGTTTTGGGCTACATTTGGGCTATCTTTTATACAGATAACGAGTTCAAACAGGTGCCATTAATACAGGTAACGAGTGGAGGACAGAAGAGCTTCTTAAAGAAGAAGTTACAGGTCTGCGAGAGCCAGAGATCTTCCTTGTTTGAAGTGACCAAATACTTATTTTCCACCATGATTTACAAATAAATTCTTTAAAATCCTACAATGTGAATTCCTGGATTTATTTTTCACGTTCTGTCTCTCACAGTTTAAGTGTACCTATGATGAAAATTATAGACCTCTGTCATTATTTCAATGGGGAGAACTTGCACAATCGGTGGCTGACTAAATACTTTTTTGCCCCACTGTATAAACTGAACCTATATCCATAATCATTTATATACTGAACCTATATCCATAATCATTTATAAACTGAACCTACAGTGCCTTGCGAAAGTATTCGGCCCCCTTGAACCTTTCAACATTTCGCCACATTTCAGGCTTCAAACACACATTTTTTGTCATGAATCAACAACAAGTGGGACACAATCGTGTCGTGGAACAAAATTTATTGGATAATTTAAACTTATTTAACAAATAAAAAATTGAAAAGTGGGGCGTGCAATATTATTTGGCCCCTTTACTTTCAGTGCAGCAAACTCACTCCAGAAGTTCAGTGAGGATCTTTGAATGATCCAATGTTGTCCTAAATGACTGATGATGATAAATAGACTGCACCTGTGTGTAATCAAGTCTCCGTATAAATGCACCTGCTCTTTGATAGTCTCAGGGTTCTGTTTAAAGCGCAGAGAGAACCATGAAATCCGAGATACTGTTGTGGAGAAGTTTAAAGCTGGATTTGGATACAAAAAGATTTCCCAAGCTTTAAACATCTCAAGGAGCACTGTGCAAGCAATTATATTGAAATGGAAGGAGTATCCGACCACTGCAAATCTACCAAGACCCGGCCGTCCCTCCAAACTTTCATCTCAAACAAGGAGAAGACTGATCAGAGATGCAGCCAAGAGGCCCATGATCACTCTGGATGAACTGCAGATAACTACAGCTGAGGTGGGAGAGTCTGTCCATAGGACAACAATCAGTCGTGCACTGCACAAATCTGGCCTTTATGGAAGAGTGGCAAGAAGAAAGCCAAAGTTTGCCACAAGCCACCTGGGAGACACACCAAACATGTGGAAGAAGGTGCTCTGGTCAGATGAAACCAAAATCGAACTTTGTGGCCACAATGCAAAACGATATGTTTGGCTTAAAAGCAACACAGCTCATCACCCTGAACACACCATCCCCACTGTCAAACATGGTGGTGGCAGCATCATGGTTTGGGCCTGCTTTTCTTCAGCAGATACAGGGAAGATGGCTAAAATTGATGGGAAGATGGATGGAGCCAAATACAGGACCATTCTGGAAGAAAACCTGTTGGAGTCTGCAAAAGACCTGAGACTGGGACGGAGATTTATCTTCCAACAGGACAATGATCCAAAACATAAAGCCAAATCTACAATGGAATGGTTCACAAATAGACGTATCCAGGTGTTAGAATGGCCAAGTCAAAGTCCAGACCTGAATCCAATCGAGAATCTGTGGAAAGAGCTGAAGACTGCTGTTCACAAACGCTCTCCATCCAACCTCACTGAGCTCGAGCTTTTTTGCAAGGAAGAATGGGCAAGAATTCCAGTCTCTCGATGTGCAAAACTGATAGACATACCCCAAGCGACTTGCAGCTGTAATTGCAGCAAAAGGTGGCGCTACAAAGTATTAGCGCAAGGGGGCCGAATAATATTGCACGCCCCACTTTTCAGTTTTTTATTTGTTAAAAAAGTTTAAATTATCCAATAAATTTCATTCCACTTGTTGATTCTTGAAAAAAAAATTTTTTTTTATACCTTTATGTTTGAAGCCTGAAATGTGGCGGAATGTTGAAAGGTTCAAGGGGGCTGAATACTTTCGCAAGGCACTGTATATCCATAATCATTTATATACTGAACTTATATCCATAATCTTTTATAAACTGAACCTATATCCATAATCAGATCCTCTGCAGATGTCCTATAATGTGCAATTCATGATAACCGCTTCTTCCGGGTTTGCCGCGATCTCTTTTTTTGTGCATAAAAACATTATTTTTTTCATGAAAACGTTAACAAATAATTCTGAAAATCTCCGTGCATGTGTATTAATAATGTACATGTATAATGTGTTCTCTCATTAACATTTATAAGTGTTATGGAAACGTAGGCGTAGACCAATCACAAAGGAAGGGGGAGGAGCTTGTGTCGATTATTTTCAAATCGAGTACCTCTTTCTGACAAACTCCAGACAATCACTTTAAAGGATGAGAGAGAGAGGTCCCTTGGCACTGCTGACATGTGACATCACAGACCGCCATTACTTGAACCCCGAACCGTTCATTCTTACGCAAAATGGTGTCTGCAGGTCGTCGTGGCAACAGTCGCCTTTGGAATGGGCATCGACAAATCAAACGTGCGCTTTGTGATTCACCACACCATCAGCAAGTCCATCGAGAACTACTACCAAGAGAGCGGCCGTGCAGGTCTCTCTCTCTCTCTGGTTTCTCACTGGTCTCTCTCTCTGGTCTGTCACTGGTCTCTCACTGGTCTCTCACTGGTCTTTCTGGTCTCTCTCTCTAGTCTTTCTTAGTCTCTCTCTGGTCTCTCTCTGGTCTCTCTCTGGTCACTCTCTGGTATATCTCTGGTCTCTCTGGGTGGTCTCTGGTCTCTGTCTCTGGTCTCTGTCTCTGGTCTCTCTCTAGTCTTTCTCTAGTCTCTCTCTGGTCTCTCTCTTGTCTCTCTCTTGTCTCTCTCTTGTCTCTCTCTTGTCTCTCTCTTGTCTCTCTCTGGTCTCTCTCTCTGGTCTCTCTCTCTGGTCTCTCTCTCTGGTCTCTCTCTGGTGTCTCTCGGGTCTCTCTTGTCTCTCTGGTCTCTCTCTGGTCACTCTCTGGTATATCTCTGGTCTCTCTGGTTTCTCTCTCTGGTCGGTCTCTGGTCTCTCTCTTGTCTCTCTTAGGGCTGGGCGATATAAACGGTATAAGCGGTATGCGATATAAATTTGGCCCACGGTAGAGATTTTTGTTATACCGGCATATTGCAATAGGTCATTATGTCATCAAATTGCGCAGGCTCTGACGCCAGCAGAGAGCATCAAAACAAACCGGCATTCAGCAGCATTTGCCTAGCACTATTAGCCTAGCACTATTAGCCTAGCAGACACCACTGAAACAACAAACAACAGCACGGCATACACCGTGTTTCTGTCTATGTATTGTTGTCACAGCGGCCCCAGCAGAGGTAAATACACACACAGTAATCACAGTTTAAGCGTCTACCTTTTGGCCAATCAGTGTCAAAGGGGCGTAGCTCGAAGCGCCAGCGTGAGCCAAAATAGATCCATGCGTGTGCCGTGTCCGCAGCATCACAGCTGAAGTTTGGGAAAGTTAGCGTCAGATTCGGACCTCCGCGGTCAATATCTCACAAAAGCTACTTTGTTAAACAAAATTGATTGTGCCAAAATAATCATTTACATCAATTGTTCAAATCCAATGCGCTGTTTTAATGAACATAAATTCATTTAATCATCCAGTTCACTGCAAGCACAGAGAAAAGCGCTTAGGGAGCGTCAACAAATGGCAAGACCAGCTTTGTAAACGAACAATAGCTTTTACTGAAGTCATGTACCTGCACAAAACTCTCAGACACTATAAATAATGACCATGTCTAACTCCTACAGACTTTGATTTCAACATTTGTGAGTTTTTTATATTTTAAATGAATGCATATGTTTTTCTTTTTAAAAATTGCTTTTACAGTGAATGGTATTTACTGTAATATACATAAATAACGTATGTTACAACATTTGTCTCTTTATTCGTCTCACAACTGATTTTCTAACTCAAAAAATATATATATTAGATTCAAATATATAAATAAGTAACAATCTTGACTATTTTATGCAAGAACCTGCTAGACCTACAGGTATATTGAAATTCACACACAAAATTATACCGCAATATGAATTTTAGGCCATATCGCCCACCCCTAGTCTCTCTCTTGTCTCTCTCTGGTCTCTCTCTCTGGTCTCTCTCTCTGGTCTCTCTCTGGTGTCTCTGGTCTCTCTCTGGTCTCTCTGGTCACTCTCTGGTATATCTCTGGTCTCTCTCTGGTCGGTCTCTGGTCTCTCTCTAGTCTTTCTCTAGTCTCTCTCTGGTCTCTCTCTGGTCTCTCTCTTGTCTCTCTCTTGTCTCTCTCTTGTCTCTTTCTCTGGTCTCTCTCTCTCTGGTCTCTCTCTGGTGTCTCTCGGGTCTCTCTTGTCTCTCTCTGGTCTCTCTCTAGTCTTTCTCTAGTCTCTCTCTCTGGTCTCTCTCTGGTTTCTCTTTGGTCTCTCTCTCTGGTCTCTCTCTTGTCTCTATCTTGTCTCTCTCTCTCTGGTTTCTCTCTCTGGTCTCTCTCTGGTGTCTCTCTGGTCTATGATTTGAGTGTGTTATATCCCTCTGTCCCGGTGCTGCCTCAGGCCGTGACGACCAGCCCGCCGACTGCATCGTGTTCTACGGCTTCGCAGACATCTTCCGAATCAGCACCATGGTCGTCATGGAGACCATGGGGCAACAGAAGCTGCTGCAGATGGTGGACTACTGCCACCGTGTGGACAGGTGCAGACCACATGCCTCATTCAATAATATCTCTCTGGTCTCTCTCTGGTCTCTCTCTGGTCTTTCTCTGATCTCTTTCTGGTCTCTCTCTGGTCTCTCTCCCTTTTCTCTCTCTCTGATCTCTCTCTATGGTCTCTCTGGTCTCTCTCTCTGTCTGATCTTGCTTACTGGTCTCTCTCTGGCCTCTCTCTCTGGTCTCTCTCTCTAGTCTCGCCCTGTCTGGCTCGTACGTGTTTGTTATCATTGCATATCCTCTTACTGTAGTGAATCCACAACTTTGTAAACTCCTCCGAGACGCTGCTCTGCTTCATACAAACTGCTTCATACAAACTGCTTCATACAAACAGCTTCATACAAACTGCTTCATACAAACAGCTTCATACAAACTGCTTCATACAAACTGCTTCATACAGACTGCTTCATACAGACTGCTTCATACAAACTGCTTCATACAAACTGCTTCATACAGACTGCGTCATACAAACTGCTTCATACAGACTGCTTCATACAAACGTAGTGTGAATGTTGCGACTGTAACAGGTGCTGTCTCTGCAGGTGCCGTCGCTCCCTCATGGCTGTGCACTTTGGCGAGGTGTGGGAGGAGCAGGACTGCGGCCGCATGTGTGATGTGTGCCGCGGCCGCAAAGAAGGTGCGTTGCTGTCAGTGTTAGAGGCGAGGGACGATATCCATGTGTGTGTATCCACAGGACGATATCCACGTGAGCGTTACCACAGGACCATACCCACGTGAGCGTTACCACAGGACCATATCCATGTGAGCGTTACCACAGGACGATATCCACGTGAGCATGACCACAGGACGATATCCACGTGAGCGTTACCACAGGACCATATCCACGTGAGCGTTACCACAGGACCATATCCACGTGAGCGTTACCACAGGACCATATCCACGTGAGCGTTACCACAGGACCATATCCACGTGAGCGTTACGACAGGACCATATCCACGTGAGCGTGACCACAGGACGATATCCACGTGAGCGTTACCACAGGACGATATCCACGTGAGCGTTACCACAGGACGATATCCACGTGAGCGTTACCACAGGTCGATATCCACGTGAGCGTGACCACAGGACGATATCCACGTGAGCGTTACCACAGGACCATATCCACGTGAGCGTGACCACAGGACAATATCCACGTGAGCGTTACCACAGGACCATATCCACGTGAGCGTGACCACAGGACCATATCCACTTGAGCGTTACCTACTCCAGAGGAAGGGCTAGTTTTACTAAGTAACATTTGTTAATTATTGCATTTATCGTTGTACAGACACAAAATATTATACACAGGTTAGCCACGTGAGCGTTACCACAGGACCATATCCACGTGAGCGTTGCCACAGGACCATATCCACAGGAAAATATCCACGTGAACGTTACCACAGGACCATATCCACGTGAACGTTACCACAGGACCATATCCACGTGAGCGTTACCACAGGACGATATCCACGTGAGCGTTACCAAAGGACAATATCCACGTGAGCGTGACCACAGGACCATATCCACGTGAGTGTTACCTACTCCAGAGGAAGGGCTAGTTTTACTACGTAACCTTTGTTAATTATTGCATTTATCGTCGTACAGACACAAAATATTATACACAGGTTATTATTGTGTGTAATGCGTTAGTTGGTCTCTCTTCTCTCTCTCTAGTCTCTCTCTCTGGTCCCTCTGTAGTCTCTCTCTCTCTTGTCTCTCTCTCTGGTCTCTCTCTCTGGTCTCTTTCTCTGGTCTCCGTCTGGTCTCTCTCTCTGGTCTCTCTCTCTGGTCTCTCTCTCGTCTCTCTCTCCGGTCTCTCTCTGGTCTCTCCCTGGTCTCTCTCTCTGGTCTCTCTCTCTGGTCTCTCTCTCTGGTCTCTCTCTGGTCTCTGTCTGGTCTCTGTCTCTCTGGTCTCTGTCTCTGGTGTCTCTCTGGTCTCTGATGTTAAACTCTTGTGGCTGCGTCTCCAGAGCTCTCTGAGGTGGACATCACGGAGCATGCGCAGCAGGTGGTGCAGATCCTGGAGCTGGCCGTGTCCCAGGACGAGAGGCTGACCCCCCTGAAGCTGCTGGAGGCCTGGAGCGGCAAGGGCCCGGCCAAACACCGCAAGGGCACCGCGAGCACCACGCTAAGGAGGCGCGAGGCGGAGGGCGTGCTGGTGCGCATGCTGCTGCAGGGATACCTCAGGTCAGCCTCACCAACACGCCAGCTGCATGAAGACCACACACTGTGACAGGAAACATGTTTCATGTGATATAAAACATGTGTCATGTGACAGTAAAACGTGTGTCATGTGATATAAAACATGGTTCTGTGCTTCAGACTTTGGGAGGTGGATGTGAGTGACAGATGGTTCTGTGATTCAGACTTTGGGAGGTGGATGTGAGTGACAGATGGTTGGGTGCTTCAGACTTTGGGAGGTGGATGTGAGTGACAGATGGTTCTGTGCTTCTGACTTTGGGAGGTGGATGTGAGTGACAGATGGTTCTGTGCTTCTGACTTTGGGAAGTGGATGTGAGTGACAGATGGTTCTGTGCTTCAGACTTTGGGAGGTGGATGTGAGTGACAGATAGTTCTGTGCTTCTGACTTTGGGAAGTGGATGTGAGTGACAGATGGTTCTGTGCTTCAGGGAGGACTTCAGCTTCACGCCTTACACCACTCACTTCTACCTCAGACTGGGACGCAAGGCTCCTCTGCTCAAGAGCGCCTCCCACAGGCTGAGCATGAGCATGAGGCCAGAGGGGGCCACGGCGGTAAGTACACACACACACACACAGACAGACACAGACGTAAACAGACACACAAACACACGCACACACACACACCGACACACGTACAGACACACACACACACACGTACAGACACACGCACAAACACACACACAGACACACCTGTGCACTGGGTTTAAGACCACAGAGAAGGCCCTGTGCTCTGGGTTTAGGACCACAGAGAAGGCCCTGTGCTCTGGGTTTAAGACCACAGAGAAGGCCCTGTGCTCTGGGTTTAGGACCACAGAGAAAGCCCTGTGCTCTGGGTTTCAGGTCTGGTCTTTGCTGTAGTCCCAGTCTAGTCTCTGGTTTCTGGTCTTAAGCCTAGCGTACATGGACAGAGTAACTGGAGACAACTAGTTTCAAGGCGGCTTTTGGCAACTGAGAGTAGATGATGGAGATGATCAGTTGGTGAAATCACCCGATGTGCACGCTTCAACAACATGTGTGTATTGCGCCCTCTACAGTTTATGTCAGAAAACACACTGTAGTTGAGGCCAGTTGCTGTCGATATACGCGCTGTTATTCCCCAGACTGGCCTGATACAGCAGTTGTTTTCGCCAGATTGTCGATGTGTGCGGGGCAGCGACTCATAGGCCACGGATATAATCAGATGCCAGTCTGATGTACGCCAGGCATAAGTAATCATTGTTGACTTGCAGGTAACATCGCCCTCTGGAGGTGACCAAGAGAAGCGCGCAGAGTCCAAGTCCAAGGGTCCAAGCTTCGAAGACGGACCCAAGACCAAGAAGGCCAAGACGAGAGAGACCCAATAGCTCTGAGTACAGGCCAAGACGAGAGAGACCCCATAGCTCTGAATACCGGCCAAGACGAGAGAGACCCCATAGCTCTGAGTACAGGCCAAGACGAGAGAGACCCCATAGCTCTGAATACATCTTCAGACCAGAGGAATCCAATAGACACACACACACACACACACACAGAGATACACACAGACACACACCTGTTTGAAACACAGAGACACAATTCAATAAAATAATAAATGGATGTTCTGAAGTGTGTGAGATTTTCATCAGTAACAAGGTTCACTATATACTATGGAGAGAGACCAGAGAGAGAAACCAGAGAGAGAGACCTGAGAGAGAGACCAGAGAGAGACCAGAGAGAGAGACCAGAGAGGGAGACCAGAAAGAGAGAGAGAGACCAGCGAGGGAGACCAGAAAGAGACAAGAGAGAGAGACTAGAAAGAGAGAGATCATAAAGAGACCAGAGAGAGAGACCAGTAAAAACAGAGAGACCAGAAAGAGAGATGGACCAGAGAGAAAGAGAGAGAAACCAGAGGAAGAGACTAGAGAGAGAGACCAGAAAAAGAGAGAACACTACATAAAGTCGCGGTGTAAGGACGTCATGGGTCCGCCGTGTTTCTGGCCCTGTCCTCTCTGAGCTCCTGTCGCCCCCTGCTGGTGACCACTCCACTCACAGCGATCACGTCACAAGGAGAGAATAAACCAGAGCAGTCAATTTGACGGCTTTTAGCCTCCTGTGTACCTGACGATGCAACACTGGAATTTCCCATATAGCATCTCTTCAGCTTCCTTTTTATAAGATAAGATATGCTTTATTAATCTCACAAAGGAGTAATGTGCATGTCACATCATGGACAGAAACACTCAGACTGTGCAAAAAGAAAGATGTGCAGCATGTTAATGCAGGATATATTATGTACAACAAAAAGGGCCAATTTAAAAAGTAGAAACGGTATCAATAGTAGTGCAGGTGTTTCAGTCATATATAGTGACTTAAGGTGACTTGTTGTACAGTCTGACAGCGGTGGGGATAAAGGCCCTGCTCCTTCTTCCACTGAAGGAGCTCCTCAGCTCCTCCTCAGTCCTGTGCAGGAGGTGTTGTTCATGATGGAGGGGACTCTGACTAGCACCTCCTGTCCCTTACCTCCTCCACAGAGTCCAGGGGCCTCCTGTCCCTCACCTCCTCTACAGAGTCCAGGGGCCTCCTGTTCCTCACCTCCTCCTGACCAGCTTGTTCAGTCTGCTTCTGTCCCGCTTATGAAAATATCTTTGTTTTTGAAAAGTGAAACTAAAGTTTATGTTTATTTCTTTGACGGTCTTTAAAGAAGTTACAATGTGTGAATCATTGTGTTATTATTGTGTATTTGTGTATTATTGTGTTGTGGTGAACCGATGCATATATCGGACTGGGATGTGAACCTATGCATATATCAGACTGGGATGTGAACTCATGCATATATCAGACACTTTGTTGATATCTGACATTTTGAACATGTTAAAACTGTACGTACAAAGTGCAGCAACTTGAACAGAGACAGTTCAAAGCAAAGAAATGCAGAAACGTACAGACCTGAGCTTTAATGTTATTACATCACACACACGTTATTGCATTACACACACACGTTATTGCATTACACACACACACACGTTATTGCATTACACACACACGTTATTGCATTACACACACACGTTATTGCATTACACACACACGTTATTGCATTACACACACACGTTATTGCATTACACACACGTTATTGCATTACACACACGTTATTGCATTACACACACGTTATTGCATTACACACACGTTATTACAACACACATGCTATTACATTACACACGTTATTACATTACACACATGCTATTACATTACACATGTTATTACATTACAATACAATCCAATACAATACAATTTATTCTTGTATAGCCCTAGGTCACAACAGAAGTCATCTCAGAGGACTTAACAAAACCATTGAAATCACCAACACAGATCAGAGAATCAACAGTTAAAACACATGAAGAATATAAAGCACACACAGAAGAAAATGTCCATACATGTTGTAGAATGCTAAAGTGTCCTGATCATCACCAATCCTTTCTGTTGGACAATAACTGTCCAACAAGACCCTCCTGCATCGACAAGGAAAAACTCTTAAAAAACCCAGTGGGAAAAAGTGAGAAACCTTGGGGAGAACTAAGGAAACCCACAGGGAGGGAGACCCATTTGAGAAAGGGATCCGCTCCTCCGGACAGACAGGCTAATGATCCAGGACCTAAGCTAGCTACAGAACGTGGACCAGTGGTAAACTAAAGAGGACTGTTTTAAACCTAGCCTTGAATAAAGAGAGCGTATCTGAAAGGAGGTGAGACAGCAGCAGCCACGGCTAGGCTAGCCTAGGCTACAGCACCAAGATTCACGGATTGCACACCAGGTGTGCAAACCGATCCAGGCAAACCTAATTATATATTATATATCATATATATCCCATGTACCACATATTATATATATTATATATAATACATAACATAGCATACAGCATAATATATAACATAATATACAACATAACACAATAGATAACATAATACATATATTGTATAATATATAACATAATACAGCATATATATAATATATACACCATATATTATATATTACCTAATTATATGCTAAATTAAAGTAGAGTGCTTTAAGCCTGGCCTTGAATGTGGAGACCGTATCTGCTTCCTTAACATAAATGGGAAGCTGATTCCACAGTAAAGGAGCTTGGTAGCTAAATGCTCTGCCGCCAACAGTGATTTTTGAGACCTTAGGAACCACCAGACGTCTGGCGACGCTCGACTTGGTTGATATGACACTAACGTGTCTTGGAGATAAGAGCCAAGCCATTTATGGCTTTATATGTTAAGAGAAGGATTTTAAACTTTATTCTGTACTCCACAGGGAGCCAGTGGAGTGATTTTAACACCGGAGTTATGTGCTCCCTCCTTTTGGTACCTGTTAAGATCTTTGCTGCTGTATTCTGAACGAGCTGGAAGCTCTTCAAAGAGGTTTTAGGGCATGCTGCCAATAAAGCGTTACAGTAGTCAAGTCTTGAGGTGACAAAAGCGTGAATACGTTTTTCCACGTCACTTTTAGGAAGGAAATTCCTAATTTTAGCGATGTTCCGTAAGTGGAAGTACGCCGTTTTAGTCGCTTGGCTTATATAAGCCTTGAAGGAGAGTTCTTCGTCAAAAATGACTCCAAGACTCCTCACAGTGTTGCTGGGTATAATACTGACATTATCGAGAGTGATTATCTGGTTAGTAAGGGAGTCACGCAGGCGCTTCGGACCGAGTAGGATCACTTCTGTCTTCTCCGGGTTGAGAAGTAGGAAGTTAAGAGTCATCCACGTTTTAAGGTCCTTTATGCAGGCACTAAGCCTTTTCCAGCTGATCCGTCTGATTTGGCTTCATCGACAGATAAAGCTGTGTGTCATCTGCATAGCAGTGGAAATTAATTCCATGCTTTTTAATAATGTTTCCCAACGGCAGCATGTAGAGAGTGAAAAGAATCGGTCCGAGTACCGAACCCTGGGGCACACCAAATTTCACTCCAGAATAAGGCGACGAGTTCTGATTTACTATGGAGCTACAGATTTGTGTGTGCGTAAAAAGATTTGTGCGTGCGTAACCAGATTTGTGTGTGTGTAAAAGAAATATTTGTGCGTGTGTAAATACATTTGTATGTACGTATCAAGATTTGTGTGTGCGTAGAAAGATTTGTGTGTGTGTAAAGAAAAAAAAATTAAGTTTTACACACAAGTTTTTTTTTTACACACGAATCTTTTGACGCAGTCCTGCCTTCGCAGATTCGCAAGTGTAACTTGGACTGTGTGCGTGTGTAAACGGATTTTTGTGTGTGTAATTTGACATTTGTATCTGTAACAGAACAATCTGTGTGTAAATAACCACGTTGTACAAAGAGAAGAACGGAAAAGAGCCTAAGTGCTACGCACAGGCTCTGTTTTAAGCCTAGCGTACATCGGACTGGCAACTGATTATATCCGTCGCATATGAGTTGCTGCCCCGCACACATCGACAATCTGACGAAAACGGGCAACTCCCAGTAGCAGACCAGTCTCGGGAATAACAGCGCGTACATCGACAGCAACTGGCCTCAACTACAGTGTGTTTTCTGACATAAACTGTTGCGGGCGCGCAATACACGCAATACACACACGTTGTCGGAGCGGCGCATGGAGCGCGCACATCGGGTCATATCTCCGAAACTGAGGACAACTAGTTGCTGAAAAGTAGAACACGGGCAACTGACTGAAACTGGAGACCGACTGTTTATCTCCAGTTGTAAGAGCGCGCACATCGACCGATTTCGGCAACTGATCATCTCCCACCATCTCCTCTCAGTTGCCAAAAGCCGCCTTGCAACTAGTTGTCTCCAGTTTCTCTGTCGATGTACGCTAGGCTTTACACACAAATCTCTCTTTGACACACCTCTGCCGCTTAGCGTGTGTCAAAAAGATTCTTAAGTGTAATGTGGTTGTTCTAGCAGTACACCAGCAGATGGTGCTGTTGTAGCTGGTTATTACCTACAGGCAAGCAAACCAAAACCTACTGCCTTGACAAGATACACTACCGCAGCTGTTTATGATATTTTTTTCCTATATTAAAAATCCTGTCATTCACACCACTGTATTATACATGGATCTATTATAATAACTGGATAGGGTGTTACTAGCTTGGAGCTGAAGGAATCTCGCGTACTTCAGACTAAATTCACGTGGGCTACACAGACATTTTCCCTATTGAGAATGAGGAGTCACGTGATAATTTGGGCGGGGTCTAATCCGGTCGGCCATGTTGATAGGATCCTCTATCGCAGCCATTCCCAAACTCAGTAACACCGAGGCCCCCTTAAAAATCTGACGGGTCTGCGTGGCCCCCCAAAATAATAACCAAGAAGACAACATTAAGAATAGGCTCTTCTGGTTATTTTATTTTGGGGAAATAGCCTC